TATTAATTTAGTTACCTGGTGGAGCATCTGCATTAAAAGATGAATTATGGTACACTTGGACAGTTACACTAGGATGGCCAGTTTAAGGTATTTGGCCTGAATGTGCTGATGGTACTGATATAAATGCTGTTGATCGTTCCAATACTACTATAAATGGAAAGAATGATCCTAAAACTTCTTATCATTTACTTGCTTCTGGAGATGACTTCAGCCATGTTAGAATACTCAGATATCCAAGCTTAAAAAAATCATCTGAAGCAGTTGTTGGTACTGGACATTCATCCCATGTTACAAATGTTAAATGGACAAAAGATGATTCAAGAATCATCTCAACTGGTGGTGAAGACTAATGCGTATTCGTTTGGAAAGTTACAAAAAAATGAAAATTATGAATATATCATAAATCAAATGGCTTACGCAATCTATAATTTTTTAAAGTTCTATGTGTTAAATCAGGAGTCAAACATAACTCTGTCGGAGATCTCTCAGATATTTCAAGTTTTTATTCAGTTTATTATTTTTTAAATTAGAATTATCTCTATTATTTTTTTGAGAATTATCTTATTTCTTAAGGTGGTTCTGCTAGTTTAATTTGATCTAAATTAACAATTTTAAAATTCTCAGTTGCTTTACATAGTTTGTACCATAGATCAAGAGGTTAAAGATTATCAAGAATAACTTGCATACTTCTTTTTTATAAAAGGTCCTTAATTAAATATATTATTTGTATAGCAAAATAGTGTAAGGAACTCTGAACATTTTGAACATCATTAAGGATTATTACTCTTTAGGATTCAAATAAAATTTAAAGTAAACCATAATTAAATAAAATTTACTGTATCATATAAGCTGGTGCTTTAGAAAAAACACAATTCAAAAACCTAAATTTTGAGATAAAAATTATTACTTAGTAAATTATAATTAATAATTATTATTTTCAGGACAATTAATTAAATATTATTGTAGTTAATTAAATATTTTACTACTTAAATATTTATAAATATTAAATTCTAAGTAATTTTGACCTAAGTAATTATTCAATATAAATCCATTAAAAAATATTGATGAAATTATATATCTCTTAAATCCAGTATTTTATTATTTCTCCAAAAATATAAACTAACTTCCTATTTCTTAAATAAAGTTATAAAATTATTCATTTAACATTTCATAATATACATCCAAATGCTCATTTAAAACCATTTAATATATACTATTTAATATTTAGCCACAAATTAATCCATAATCATCTTTCATTATCTTATTAACAAAGATTTAAAAGAATTGTACTAAATTCTCTGTTGTTAATATTTTACTTGTCTTTTCAACTATATTACAATTTTTATGGCTTAAGAATTTCTTTTAGAATTATTACAATGAATCCAATAATCTATAAATAAATTAAAGAGATTCCATTAACCCAATATCTTTTATTTAAATACCTTACTAATTCTATTTAAATAAACTTGCATTTGTTTTACTTGTTGCCTGATATATTCTTATTAATTTATTCTATGATAAAGTATCATCTTAATTATCTGATGGCCTTAAACTTGAAGAAGATTATTTAGATTTCTAACTCAATTATGCATCCTTATCAATAGATAGATTCTTGGAACTCTCTCTTGACAAAGGAGAATTAATATTTTTAAGAGGAGATTTTACAGAAATTGTATTTAGTTTAGGCAATGATAGTTATTTCTTTTTAGGAGGTATTTCAATCATTTATCTTCCATATTTATTTACTCTTTGGGATATGATATTTTATTCTTCGATCATTACCTTTTGTCCTAATGTAACCTAATTCTTTTTTTACTCTTCAATCATTTTTTCCATCATTTTAGGATCAAAATTTAATTTATCATTATTGAAAAACTTCAAATTATCTATATCTCTATTATTTAAGAAATCATGTGGTTGTAATTCATCAAGTTTCTCACTTGTGCTGTAACATTAGACAAAATATGATTTATTTACAGTAACTTATTATTTTATGGAACCTCGTTGATTTCTATTTAATGATTGTAACATACTCAAAACTTGAGTCTAATTATAATATTAAATATATTTTACTTTTTTTTCACTCTAATAATTTTCATCTTTTTTACTTACATCAATGTTCTATTTAAATAGAAAAGTAAAAAGATATTAGAACCAATCTGTATCATTTATATATGTCCATACTTATTCTTGAACAAAATATCCTAATTGATATTTATCAGTATCAAAATCCAAAATTTCCAATACCAAATTCATAATAGAGTTATTATAAAAAAATTATGTAAAGGAGAACAATAGATTTAACTTAATTATTTAATATATAGTATGTTTAGGACACATTTCTAATAATTTATTTATTAATGAGCCTAAATGATACAAGTTGATATTTTACTCAGGATCTCGAAGTACCTTATATATCAAATGAACTAGTAAAAATAAATTTAGTTACATATTTTTGGTAACAAATTTTACATCTTTAGTTTCAAGATTTCAAATTTAGTACAATTTAAAACTGAATTTAAAGCCTTATAAGACCTTATTATTAATAAATCATCTAATTCTGAACAATTTATCTTAAATCCTTAGTAATCTTTATCTATAATTGTTTCACTATATTTAACATTCCAATCATCTATTAAATCATACTTCTATGGCTTAATAATCAATTTTAGAAATAAATATAAATCGATTGAATCATCAATCAAATTTACCAAGTTTTATTTACATAATGCTATTTAATATTTATCAATTTGTTATTTATGAACAGCCTTTTAATCTACTTATGGGCTATTTTCTTCAGAGTTTTAATTCTGTAATCCAGGATTCTCCATTTATTATTTGTATTATTCATAAAGTTATTGTAAATTATGTTAATTCTGTTTGAATTTAACAGAAAATCTTTATGGGATTAATGTTTATTTATAAATATCTATTTCAGATTAAAATGTATCAATCCATGGTAAATTTTTAAATAAAGTCCTTTTCAAATTCTCAAATGATTCAATTAATTCAAATATCAATTCCTTATTACTTGTATTATGTAAATAAATTCTATATATATCGTAAATTCTTGACATATCGATTCCTAAATCTTGAGCTAAGGAAAAGTATTTGGAAAAATATGAACAAACATACAATTTAACTTTCGTCATTTATTGCTGTACAGATTCAGAAAAATGATAAAAATGATTTAAACCAGTTTTACCTTCCTTTCTATAATATATTAAATTATTACTATTTTCTTATATAAACATCAAATATGGATTATTTTTTATATGCAGCAGCCTTGCTCTCTTAATAGTCTCCTATTTAAGAGATCGCTTAGGTGTATGCCCAAAAAAAGTTTTCATTTTTATAATAATCAAAAAATGCTGAGATCAACATATTAATATTCTACTCTTAGTATGGATAACAACAAATTACTAATAAATAGATATGAATATTTACAAAATTTAATGAGAGCTGTACTTTAAATTGTTTCTATCTTAGGCATTTCAGATGTTACTTCTTTGATGCCTTCGCTTAAAAGTTATAACCTCTGGTATTCATCTTCTGTTTAAAGCTAGATTCAAAAAAAACTTATTTACAGCTTTATAAAGAAGCATTGATCAGATTTATAAAAATTACACAATAAAATTATTAAATTACTTCTTGTTTACTAAAAATGCTTTAATGCTCAATAAATTAATTTGTAATTGAAGATGAATGAAATCTTTAGCATAGAAAGTACTTTCTTTACTTTATCTATTTTTTGGTCTTTAATCTTATTTAAGGCTCTCTAACTATCATGAATTAAAAAATTACAATTAATTTTTAATGAATTATAATTTTGTTTCATTTGTAGATATTTAGTTTATTAATTTTCTGAAAATTTCATCTTGAAAAGGATAACTGAATATTTTAATGAATGAATTAAATAATAATATAAATAATTTATAGTATTATTGTTCTTTATATAATTTAATTTTACTCAGATGCTGTTAACAGCAAAATATTTAAAGAAAACACGTATTTACTAAAAATAAAATACTGTTAATTATAGTTGGAATGGAAATTACAAGAATTTATTTATATATATATATTAAAATAAATACATTTTATCTAAGAATAGTATTACAACTAGATTAAAGAGTTTTAGTAATTTTTATAGAGTATTAAGAAATATAAATAACTAATTCATTAAGAGATTAGCATAAGTGATTCAATTTAAGTCTAATCGCTTCATTTTTCTTAAAATTTTTTAAAATTCTTTTTAAGAGAGATCTATTTCCAGATTTTCAAATAAGCCTTCTTCTTCCATTTAAGACGCTCTTTATATCATATAATCTAAAATAAATGATTATATAAATACTTATCCATTCTTTGTCATATTAGCTTATTTTCTTGAGTTTCTTTAATTATTTTATTTTTCTAATATGCTTATTCTATCCAGTTTTGGCTTTTTTAAAAGACTACTTTGATTATAAAGGAGATTAGTTGATCGTGTAATTTTCATCCATCGTTTGAGGATAGTCTCTTTCATAACAGTCTATCTGATAATCGCTAGTAAATCTCTACTCTTCCTCTTCATTGTAAATATTCAAGCTCATAGATATGCAAAAAAATATTAAATAAATAATATATCATTAAATTAATTTAAAGGATCATTTATAATTAGTATTGAGAAATTATGGAATGATGGCCTCTATAATTTATATACTTACCTAATAAATTACGAGGAAATTTAGTCTTAATTTTATCAATTAGATAATTAGAATAGTAGACTCCAATTATAATTTATTTGTGTATCCATTATATTTTGTGATTTAGTTTAATTAATAAAATGAAAAATATCTAAATTTGTGAATTAAAATATATCATGAAATTTATCTATTATTTAGTAGAAAATATTCAAAGTTTGAAGTTATATTGAGGATCATTAGTAATTATTAATAAAAAAAAGTGGGAAAACTATAAAAATATAATGATTGGTAATATATTATTTAAAAATACTTTTTTTGGATCATATAGATACTGTACATCCTAAATGTAAACCAATCTGCCTATTATCCAAATCAGTCGAGTCATCTTAAAATTCATAAGAATAAATTTACCTAAAGATATTAAATCTTAAATATTACCTTAAGCATCTTCTAATAATGAAAATAATGATAAATCATATTAATTAGCAATTCTTAAACCAGACATGGTAGATGATAATCTAATAAGTTGGTTTATTTTGTTAATGACTCTTTTAATAGTGAAATTGTAACATACATTCTCATTTAAATTTTTGACTATTAGGAGGAGAAATAAAAAGTCTATTTAGCAACAGGAGCAATAAAAGCCCTTGTAATAGCAAAGAAACCTCTCATCACAAATAAAATTTATAAATATTATTATATAATTTATTATATTTATTTTATCATCTTCTTATTCCACCTCTTTCTAAAGCAGATTCTGCTTATGATAATAACATTAATTCATTATCCCATCCATCATTCAATTATTTATTTTGTTATTATCTTAATAAATTTAATTTGAATACCTGGCTGACCATCCAGCATTAACATTATCAAGATTACTTTGAGCATTATTTAAATTAGTTTATGCATCTGATAATAATCCTTATTTTGTATTGATTTCTCCATCTTTAGTTTCTATGTCTGCTTTCAATTATGGTATAATTTCATTATTTAACAAATTGATAGTATTTTCCAATGAATTTAACATTTCATTATTAGTATCTTTTTCTAATTATGCATTCATTTACAATCCTTATTTTGAAGCTACTAAATCTTCTCTTAAAGTATGAAGTAATTTAATAGCATTTCCTGCTTATTCTTAATCAGCAAAACTATTGTATATGATATATATTTACCCTTAAGTACTCATTTAAATGAGAACTTTTGATAAAGGTTCAAATAAATGAGGAAGATGAGTTAATTCCCCTAATCTTCTTGAGAAAGTTGCTGCAGAAACACTTAAATCTTCTAATTCGACTTAAATAAATGATGATTCTTTATTTAAAAATATTGAATACATTTTAAAACTGATAATTTAGCAATTACTTAATCAATAATAGAAATTGAAGAATCATATTCTCCTACCTTTTTCGATGTTGCTTAATCACTATTTTATACAGTTCTTTATAATTAAGCTTAAGTTCTTTAAGCATCATTTAATTATTGAGTTTTATCATATAAGGATTATTATAAACTGTTTCTATCCTTTTTAAAAGTTGTAATATCACTTTGATGTTAAGCAACCTTTTTTACATACAATTTTATTTTACTTCTGTACTATATTCAGTAACTTAAGTAGAGTAGAACTCAGAATCACTTAAAAATTATTAGTAATAGTTTTCTAATTAATCTGTCTCATCTTATTTTGCTTATTGAGTTGATGCAACAATATCATCTAATGCTGTAAACAAAGGACTAAAATCTACTTCTGTAAATTATTGCAATGTTATCATATTTAATATAGTTTTGCCTAATTTACTGTTACTTAATTTTCCTAATTATTCTTCAAACATACTTGCCTAGCTTAATCATATAAATGACTTAATTACTTTGTGATCTAAGTGCAATGAACTATAACTATCATACATAAAAGTGCACAAACTCTCATTAATAAAACGGATATTAATTAATAATAAATTTATACAAATATCACATCATTGAAATCCATCTAATTATTTTTGCATTTTGTTTTCATTTTCCTATTGCTAATCAATACTTTCTATTTTTTATCCAATTGATTTTCTTACTGATTCAGAAGAACTATGAAATGATAATTACCTTTATTTTAATAAGTAATCTTCCACCATATCAGGTTTTGGATGTAAAAATTAGATTTTATTAATTTCAATTTTAAATTCAAAAAATGTTTTTAGAACTTCTATACACTTTACTTTATCCTATAAATAAATACTCATATACTATAAATATATCTCATATAATTACTTTCTTAATTGATATTTCAGTCCCAAATTCTTACATTTGATCACTTACTTCATAAGTTTTTAAAATGATAAATTAATCTCTACCTTCAATAAATAGTTAAATAAACAATTTTTTCTAAGTATTCATATTACCAACCTAATGCAAAATCAAACTTCCATCCTATTTTGCTTAATTCAATGTAATTTTGTATTCTTTATAATGTTTTTTCAAAATTCTATTTCTAAACTTCAATTACATTGGCTTGATTGAATTTTCAACAAAAAAGACTACATTACTTTCTTATTTTAACTTCATCAATTATTAGTCTTAATAATCAAAGCATAAATAAATGAATTTTTAATTTACTATCTAAATTTATTATATTAAAATATTTGCCATATTTTCTATAGTAGATTGATGAGTTAGAATTTATGCGTCATCAGGAGTCAGATACCAGTATATTGGTTATGATCTTTCTTTTAAATTCAAAAGTTGTGCTTTTATCTCAAAAATTCTTTAATGATCATCAAATACAGAATCTCTATCCTGAAATAATAATTTATTAATTTTATTTCTAACAAAATTTATTACAACTAAGTGTTTCTTACCTTAAGTGTAAAATGTTCTTTTAGCCAATACATTATTAGAATGAGGTCTTTATGTTAATCTTATTTTCTTAAAAAATTCAGGAATATTATATTAAGATTCTTATTTATTTTTTGATAAATTTATAGGATTTATGAAAGAAGATTAAATCCTACTTTTATCAATAAGTAAATTCCCAGAATTTTGATCTACTTTGACTCCTTTTATTAGATTAGAACTTAGAATTTTCATAGTGTTAGGATTATTAAAATTAAAGCTTGGATACAATTTTTTAACTTCCTATAAATCAATTTATAGTTTAGTTATATTTTCTTAAACATCCTCTTCTTATTTTTTATTAATTGCATCTTTTGAATTAGTATAAACTATATTGACAACAGCATCACTAGTTCTGTCTTAATCTATGAGTATTTCTTATTAATCTTTAGCAATTAATTTACCATTATTCAATAATTCTTCTTCATTCTTTTGAATAATTAATTTAGATTCATCAAATTATTAATTTTCAACAAATGTTAAAAACTTATTTTCATCAAATTTAATTATTTTTTCTTCGATTCTAATTTTATTTATAAAGAACTCAAATAAGTTTTATTATCCAAAATGTATTAATTAAGAATTATCATAAAAACATGTTGTTCTAAATTTATTATATCTATGTTATTTCTTAACTGGAATTAATTCAAAAGTAAGTTAAATTTAATCTTCAATTTTTCCATTTTATTTGTACACATTTACAATATAATAATTTTAAATATGATCTTCCTAAATTAGTTTATAAGTTCTCATTACAAATTCTCCTGTAAAATATCTATTTTTTTCTTGCAACTATCTTTTTCTTAAAACTTTCAAATGAATCCAATCTTTAAATAATTTTCTTCTAAATGCTGCTTATGCTGTCAAAATACATACTGTAAACATTTAATATTTTGATTCATTTTAAAATTTTCTTTTTCTTTTTTTTTAAATATTCCTTTCAGAAAAAGTGATTGGAATTTCAATAGAAATATCAAATTTATTGAAATTTATGTGCATATTTTTTTGAATCAATTAAATTAGAGGATTTATTAATGCTCTATAATATTCTATAGTTTTCATCTTATCATATTATGATAATTAAATAAAATCAATTCTTTAGAAATCTATTTGATCTTATCTTTTATGCAAAGATTGATATATAATCTCTCTTTCTTATTATAACTCTACTAAATTAATTATAAATTATTTTTCTCTAAATCTTCTTTTACAATGCTAAACCTTGCCTTTCTCAATAATCCTACCATAATGAGTTATAAAAGTCAACTCTCTCATTGTAAATTATAAATTATAATGATGTTTTATTAAAAAGTAATCAATCTCAACATAAGTTGAATAATAGTTTAAAATAAATTTTTAAAGAAAAAGTTTAGAACGTTTTAATTATTTATAAATTTTAAACTTCTCAACCATCCTTTTAACTAATATCATACCTTATATTTTTTAAACAAATTTTTCTTTTAAAAGCAAAGATATTTCAGGTCTCAAATCTTCAAAATTATGAGTATATTGTATTTCATTTATTATTAAGACTTTTGTAAGTGTTTGTGTAAATCCTTTAAAGAAATTAATCACTCTCATATTACTTAAAGTTTGTAAATTTTCAGTTACATATTTTGATTGAAAATCATTTGAATCAATTTCAATAACTCTTATACATTAATTATGAAATTGTATAATAATTCTTAAGATCATAGGTATTCTTTAGAATTCAAAATTGAGTGTTGATGTACCTTTTTAATATGTACCTATAGTTACTTTTTCAGTGTGTAAAACCTATGATACCTAATCTGATTTTGTAGGAATAATTTAATCTTTTTCTAAGATATTTGAATTATCTTTTTATGAATTCAGATAGTCATCTATTATATATTCCATTTTGATTTCATCAAGATTAAATATTAATTTATCTTCATTAAAATTGAGGCATGATAATAATAATTTATTAAAATTTACCTTAAAATATTCATAGGGTATTTAATAATATTTTTATAATTATGTCATTGAAATTGTAATCTAAGAGACTTTTTAATTAATTTAATTTTCAGCTTTAACAATAAAAGTCTATTCATCAATACTATAGTATATAACTAATTAGAATTTAACTTCATTTATTTCTTAAATAAATTTTCCAATAAATTCTTTTTGAAATTTTGGAGAATTTTCAGATACCAAATCACTAATAGTGTTTTAATCAATCAATAATTAATTAAATAAATCAGGATTTGTTCCATATTCAGTACAAGGTAATGTATTTAATACATATGTTTTAATTGATGTATCATCATATTCTTCAACATATTTATTTTACTTCACTTTTTTTATTCTTCTATATTTATGAACTCTATATAATGATTAAAGAGTTTTTATGAAATTCATTTGTTTATTTTCATCAAGTTAATGATTAATCAACATACCAGGAAATTCCATATCGATATTACTTGATTATTATAAATACTTCTAAGTTAAATTAGAACTTATAATTTATCTTGATTCTAATGTATTTTCTCTATAGTTTTTGTCATCTTAGTAATCAGAATTTGATAATGATATAAATTAACCATATGTTTATTCTACACTTTTACATTCAACTATGTCAAAACCTTTCTTATTTTTAATAATTTAAGAGAATTCTATCATTTTTTATGCAATTGATATTAATTCACTAATTTCTAATGGTTAAAATAATCTTTAATAATAAGGTAATATTTTATCAATTGAAAAAGCATGTTCCAAATGCTTAGATGTTATAGTTATACTTTAATATTCACTATTCCCTATCAATGATGATTTTGGATCTGTTTTCTCAATATCTAAATAAAATGTAGTCAAACATGCCTTTTCACCAATATAAATCATCACTCTTCTTGTCAACATACTTCTTTCAACAACTTTAGATGAATTATTTGTATATTTTCTTTCAATTATATTTCTTATCTAACATCTTCTTTTAAATAAATATCTCATAATGGCTCTTTAAATAATAATTACACATATCTATGATTTTGTAATTTATTCCCATACTCTAGCTCCTCTTTGAGAATACTCTTCCTCTCTTTTTATCCAATATAAGGCTTCATCACTATATTCAATATATGGTGTTACTAAATCTATGTTAAATATTTCAAATATATTTTCACTACTAATATTTCCCATTTGTTTAAATACAATTTATTGTATTTCTATATCATTTGATTTTTTTTAAGTCTCATGATTTATAATATAAACATATTGTTTCTTATTATGAACATTTTTTGTCTTAACTATCTGTAAATATTAATTCCTAATTGTTTTAATTAAATAAGTATCAAATATTTATTTAGTCTTATTATTAACCCATTTTGTCATTCTTAATCTTTATAAATGTCCTCTGACAAATGATTATATAAATTTTATTGCATTATTTTCATATTAAGTTAATTATTTATTATATAAGGGAGGTTTAATAATTCTAATTTGTTCTTATTATGGTATAACATCTATGTAATCAAAATTATTAATGCCTTAAATTATTAGTTTATTATTTTCAATTAAGATTAATTCTTATAAAATTGCTCCTATTTTTTCTAATTATAATCTAAATTATATATTAGTTTCTGTTTTTGTTCTAATAATATATTTTCCATCTAATTCATTTAAATATAGAAACTATTATGTTAGAGTCATTAAATTTCTTATATTCCTTAATAATTTACTTTCTTCAATTATGAGACACTCCAATTCATCAGAATATTAATATAATAATCCTAAAGATTTTAAAAAACTTTCTAGATCCATTTCTAAATATATATAATTTTCCTTTCTTTTTTCTTTCATTCCATGTGCTAATGCAAATCTAACAAATGAATTATCATTCATAATTGAAAAAGTGAATATATAAGAATCTTCCATTTATATTCCTCCTTTCATTATTGGATTACAAAAACCTTATCTGATAGTTTGAAATTACTTTGCTTTAATCAAATATTTTTAGAATTTTATTTATTATTTTGATTTATATCTTAAAAGAAAAGTGATAATTTTCTACATAGCTTTTTATTCCTTCTAATAATTCTTTTATAATTTATTCATTTAAATTAATTTGTTTTTAATTTCTTAGAATTTAATCTCTACAAATTTTTTTCTTAAAAATCTTTATAATTTTTTTAATTTTAATTCATCTGTCTATAATAAATTTCCCTTATCTTTAAAAGCTTTTTTAAGATTATAAAATTTCTTTCTCTCTTTTTTCATTCTAATTTATGCTTATATTTTAGTAATTTAATTTGTATTATAAATTTATTCTTCTACTTCTCTTATAATTTATTTTTCTTTCTCTATTAAAGAATTATCAAAATAAATTCTTTAAGAATTCTATTTATTTAAAAAACTTAATCTAAGATCCTTACCACTATTTTTCATTAAAATTGATCCTCTATTATAAGGAGATCTTTCAGTTAATCTTTATTATTTAACATCCTCATCTGAATGTTCTGAATTTGACCATTATTCTATTTCAATTTATTCTATCTATGTTTTCAATTTTGTTTTCACTCCACTTATTACATTTAATTCTAATAATTTAGCCTTAATATCTTGTACTTTATCTCTATTAGTATCCATCCTTTCATTATCTGTCTTTCTTCTTAATATTGAAGCACTGTATTCTTTTTTTATTGTTTCATTTTCAATAACATTTATTTTCTTTCTCTATATCAATTTTCTTGTTTGACTAAGTGGACTTTATTAAGGTGTTGTATATTAGAAACTTTCATCTGTAGGAACATCAAATTATTTTTTTAATGATAATATCTTTTTAAATAGAATAGGAGATTATTCATTCATTTGAACAATTAATTTTTATTTAGCTTACTAATGTCCATTATATAATTTTTTATATAATGGATCCTAATTACCTAGATGTTCTGCAACAAATTACAAAGATCTCTTATATTATTTGACTGCTTCATTGATATGATCCAATGATTCCAATTCATATGCATAATTATAATGAGCCATTGCTAAATATCTTATTGTTTCTTTAGAATTTGAATCAAATTCTTATTAACCTGATTAGATAGCTCTCTTAGCTTCCTTTAAAGCCTTTTCATGCCTTAGGAATATTAAATTTCAAAATTATACAGATTCATTTGACTCAACACTGCTGTTATATTCAAATGAGTAATTGTTTTCATTTTTAATTGATCATATTATTAGACTAATGAAAGTGCATTTTCAAAAGCATTAATTGCTAATTGTGTTTGATTCATTCTTCTATAAACACAACCTAAATTATTATAAGCCAAACATCTAAAATTCAAATTTAGTTATTATTTTTACATTTATGTAGGTATATCTTAATATTCACGATGTTATATTATCCATTAAAGAATAAGAATACATATATCATTGAATCCATTTAAGTCTAAAATCTTCATAGCTTATTTATTAAGAGATTTAAACATATTTTCTACTTCTTTTTATTAAAACTATGTGCCTTTTAATGCAATCAATTCTAAAATAGAATATCAATGAAAATACATTTATCTTTCAATCCAAGTGACTCTAAAATATTATTTTTTTTCAATGACTATTCTGAAGTTTCAAGATAAGAAGATTTAAAGGAATTCTTATTGTTATTTTGTTGAAATGATATTTTCCTTGAAATTGGTGATGATTCCTTTCTTTGAGCTGGAAAATAAGCAGAGTTCGTTCGTATTGGTTACATTTACAAATATATTTATTTTTCAATTCGATTAGTTTAATCAACCAAATACATTTTAACAAATATCCATCTTCATTTATATGATGAAACATTCTAATCCTACCGAAAAATATGAAAGATTAACAATTTAGTTTAATATAACAAAATCAAAAAATCTATTCCAACATAATTGTACTGAGTCTTCTTATTAATAATGGTGACTTATTCATTTTCAATTAAGTACTCTTTATTGTACTACTGGAATTAAATTCAGAGATTTCACTATCAGAATCTAAAGTTTTTTGAGAGAAAATTGTTTTTTTTTTTGAGACTTCAAAATTTATCTATTTTTTTTGTGGATCTGTTAATTATTCAAGCTTTAAATCTTCATTCAAATAATGTATAATGAGTTTCTCTCTATCATTTATTTAATCAGTTAATATCTGAACATCGTTAGTATCATTCATTATAAATTATGTTTATCTTTATTATAATATAGTCATAAGATAAGCATAAATTTAATTAAAAAATGCCTCAATCAAAACTTATTACATACTTGCAAACAAATCTCATTGGAATAAATATTAAATATTCAGCAATTATTAATGCAAAATACAAATAAATATAAGACTCTCCTGTTTGTTATTAAAGATTCAATTAATTGTAAATACTTTTACTCATTATATATTAATTAATATATAATTATTAATGGACATATCAAAGATTGGAAGCTCGGCTATTGATAAGTCCTTTGGTAGAGGAGGGTAGGGAAAGGATGCTGTAGTAATAGTTTCAAACTTAGAAATTCATAAACCTGTTGTCACCTTTTGTGATATGAGTTAAGCATAAAAAGAATTTGCATTTGAAACTGCTGAACATGCTTTCAGTAATTACATTTTATAAACTTTAAGAATTGTCAGCTAAAAGAGAAAAGAGATATTTTAAAGACATAGCAGAGTACATTAAAAATGAATTTGATAATAAATTTTAAGGCACATGGCATGTAATTGTAGGATTACATTTTGGTGCATTTGTTTCTTATGAAAGTTAATGTATGATACATTTTTACATAAATCAATTGGGATTCATGATATATAAGTTTGGCTGAGTTATTTTAAATGAACTATTATAGAAATTAATATTTTATTGATAAGAATTTAATTTAAATTTCTATAGTTAATCACCTTCTTTAAATATACAATTTCTAAACAATCTATTATTGAATTCATATAATAAATGAAGTACTTTTAGGTGAAGATGTATACTAATCATATAGAATTCAAGAAAATGATTAAGCATAATCATTTTAATACATATCTACTTATTTTAATATGTGATTTTAATATGAAGTTTTATATCTTATTTAATGAACATCTATATATATATAGGAATCAAATAACAAATCCTACTTCTGCACATGCAAAGTTAGTTCCCTTAGCATTTTAGAACCACATTTAGACAACAATTCTACCCTATTAAAATATGTTTAATATATTACAGATGGAGTATAGGTTGGGAAATTTTAAGTCATTTCATAGTCGACAAGATCTCCTTTCTCATAGACTTCATCTTCTGGATAGTTGTCTTCAAAAGCATCTATGCCATTCCATTTAGCTTTGAGATTAACATTAGCTAATTCAACATGTTCATTTGCAGTTCCATAAAGTGTGATTTTTTCATCAACTCCCTTAGCTGGTGTAACACTGAAGGTAGCCTCAGTGAAAACAACCTTTGGGTTGGCCATACAATTGGTAACTTTGGTTGGAATGGCTGCTAAAATGGATGATACTAACAGTAAGGCAATTAGGTATTTCATATTTTATAATATTATTAATAATATTGTGATCAATAATTTATGCTTTGAATACCCACATTACGCAATCGAAATTTATATATCAATAAAATAATATTATTTGATTCTTTAAAAATAAATAAAACCAATATTTAAAATATTATGATATTTCTTAAGATTAATGATAATTGTTTCCACATGAGAACTCTTATAAAAACTAAATCTAAATATAATCGAGCAATATAAATAAAATTCTAGAATTTCATATTATTTGATTGATTAATATTTAAATCTAATCAATATTAATTGAATCTACAATAGCATAAAGGTAATCTAGTAATATAATGTACATTGAATAACATTTCTATAATTCAAATTATGAGGATAACAATTATAAATCAATAATCAAGATATTAAATAACAAAATAGACTTTATATTGAATATATAAGATAATTCATTCAAACTCTCGCATATTTCAATGGATAAATTAAAGATTAATCTTTTATCAATTTAAAAGGAGATTGTTAAAAATAAATACTTAAATTTGATTGATTATGTCAATGTATAAGAAAGATCATCTGGAAGTGAAAGTTAATTAAAAAAAATAAAAATGATAGCATCACAATTCATCAAATTATGTGGATTAATGAAAAATATTAAAGAATTTTAAATGATAATTTATGAAATTCTATTTTTATCATTTTAATCTAAGGATAATGCCTTTGAATATTGGTACTCCTCCGAAGGTCAACTATATTTAAAAAAATATATATTATACATTATTTAATTAATTATTATCTTTAATACACATGGATTCAGATTTCTTCTTAGTGAATTTGAATTCCCAAGAGCGTGCTCTCTCTCTGGGATCTTCAATTGGATCTTCAGCAGGACCACAAACAGGAGTAGTTAACTATAGTTTTATAATAAAACTAATTACTTGAGATTTAGCTTTTTTCTAACTCATATTAGGAGTAGCTCCAGCTTCTCTTTCTTTTTTCGTCAGAATTAGTTATTCCTAATTTAAATTACATTCTAGATACTTTCTCGATCTTTTTCAAATGCAAACATTGTGATTTGAGAATGAAGTTTTTCATAATCAAACTTTGACGAACATCTTTGCATAAGAGGAGAGTTTTAAAGAAGTAATCTAATTGTATTCTTCTCTCCTCTATTAATTCATCATTCTGATTGGTGGATCTCCACCAATTAGTCGGAGGAAACTTCGGCAAACTTCCTTTAAGAGTTTATAATGATTCATATAATTTCTTTAGATGTGAATAGCGATAATCGACTGAAAAGGAACGCCTTTAGTTATTTTGAGTAAATCTATATATAATTTAATATAAATATCTTACACTAACTAGTAGTATACAACATCATCATTTTTTTTGAAGGAAGGAACGCAAATTGAAATTGCAAACTCATTTTCTTACATATAATTATTTTATTAATATTTGATAATCTCTTCTTTTTTTTTTAAATAATACAATTTTTAATAAAATTACAGGTTTATTTATTGATAAAACACTAATTTCAATCTTCAAGTATTACTTATACTAAAGGATAATGAATTATTTAATTTTTAAATATTAATTTTTAAATTGATTACTTCAATTTTATGATAAAATAATAAATATAGTATTATATTTCATAAACTATCTTAATAACAATAAGATTAAATATTCATTAAAATCATATTCAAATTTATAACTATCAATTTTTAAATAAATCAAATATGAATTAAATATTAACAACAAAAACATAATTATTTATTCATTTTTCAAATTTAAAGGTGACTAATTTTCTTTGTTTAATTCCTAAAGTAGCTTAAGTTGACATCTTTCCTCTTAAAGTTTATTTACTATATTTAACATCAACTAAATTGTCTTAAGTTTCTTCTCTATATTCTTCTTTTCGAAACAAACTTCTAATTCTTGAGAGCAATTTAGCAATGATCTTATACTCTTTAATCAAGAATTCATAATGCTACTTAATATCAAGAATGAATTGATATATGATCAACATTGTACAAGCACCAATGATAAACCATCCAATTAATAATTCCTTATTTTCATCTGGACCTTATTATTAAGAGTAGTATAATCCTAAAATGAAGATTTCTGCTAACCAAATAAAAAATTCTGATCCAACAGTTTTATAGTATTCAAATTTATCTTCTAATGGAGTATTATATATGATATAAACTGCAAAAAGTACATTAAGCATAGAACATGTTATTATTTATAAGCTTGTATCATAATATAGATTAACCAAAAATAATATGAAAAGTATCTTCTTACAAAGGAGAACAAGATTATAATAATTAGAATAAGGCTTAGTTGGTTGAATGTCTATTCCTTCATATAAGGATCCATATTTCTATTTAATAAAGAATTATTAATAGAAAAATGGTTAATTGCTCATAAAAGTAAAACCTTTAAATAAAAAGAATAATTAGAGTAATAAAAATATTATACTTAAAGCAAAACTGGATTACAATAATGCATTATCTGAATTTGGTGATCTAATTTATAAAAAAATAGAGAGATTGTAATCATAGGTGACAGCCATGAATGTTCTAATTAATCCTGAAGTGAATTCTCCAATAATATTAAGGAACATTTTAGAAATATTTCTACTAATTCTGAACAAAATAAATTTGATAACATTAGGTTCTTCTTCTAAAGAGGTGTCATTTTCATCAGAGTAATATTATAATAGTTTAGCCAAGAATACAAATCCTAATCTACAACCAATAAAGATTGCTAAAGTTGTTAAAAAGACAGTAAAAACAGCAATAGAATTAATATAAAATGTAGAAGAATATCCTTATTATGCAAATTTATAATCTGGTTCAGGAGATATAACATGATGATTGATAATATCTTCAATATTAACTACTTTTTTAATGAAATCAAATTAAGCAAAATCAAAAAGCTAGAAATATGTATCAACATTATATGGATACAAAATATTGAAAAACTACAAATATGAAATTAATTATAAGACATCTAACAAATTCCAAAATATTTGTAATCCTCCAACTAGAAATGCAAATATGGCTAATCCAAATAGTATATATAAAACATATTTACTAAAATTTAATAAACTTGTTGTTGCTGAAATAACAGATTAAGATTATTTATAGAATGGTAGTAATGGAAATTCAAATGACATCTATTAAAAAGTGAAACCTTGTTCACTAATATACTTATCAGAATTGAGTATTTTACATATTAAAATAGGATTTTCACTTCTATCATTAATTTAAAGTTTCAAAATAGTTTTGATAATATTAAAATCTTCTTTTGTTTCTGTTTAATTATCAGTGATTAAAATATCAAAAGAGACAGAGTCTTTAAAAGAGTATTAACATAGATTATCAATTTTACCAGTAGTTTTAAGTTTAATATTAGTAATTAATTCTAAATTTCTGATTCCATCATGTTAATTATCAAATTTAGATTGTGTCATAAGTATAATAGGATAGATTATTCTTTCACAAGTATTTTCACATATCCATCCATCTTCAACTTTACATTATGTACATCCATCACCACTTTTATCATTACCATCATCACATTCTTCTTTATCTACTTTAAGTCCATCACCACATATAGATACACAATTATTATCTAATATTTAATAACCCTTATCAATTTAACACATAATACATTTTAAATGATTTGCATCATATAAAACACATGAAGTACAATTATCATATCTAGTTATACATGTTTTACATGATTAATCACATTATTCACATTAATTATTTTTGTTTATAAAATAACCATCAATACATTTAACACATATTCCCATTTCACATTTAGAACATAATGAATTAAAACAATAAGAATTTGGTAATAAACACATATAACAACCATCTTTAGGTTCTGAATTACCATCATCACAATCTTCATTCCATTATACTATCTTATCACCACATTTACTATAACAATAATGAGTAGATGGTGGATTTGAATAATTTCTACAATCTGAACATTCCTTCATATTAGATTCATAATATCCTCTTTTACAATTACATGCAAATACTGTTTAATTAATAGAAGGTTCTCTAGATGATGGACATCTTGTACACATATCATTTTTGGAAGAAGGTAAACATTATTAACAAGAGAAATGACAACTATCACAACTTAATTGATTTTCTACTTCAAAATGTCCTAACATACATATACAAGTACTATTTCTAATACTTAATTTACGATTTTAAGAAGTATAACAAGATAAACAATTTGTTAAACTAGAACAAGTTAAACATTTAGGATTACATTTAGTACAAATAGATATTCCTTCATCAAAATATCCATCTTAACATTCACATTTTCTATTAAGTATTGTTCTATATTAATCTGGATAACAACTAGTACAATAATTTGAAAAGAAACGACAAGTATAACAAGTCTATTCACATTAACTGCAATCTAAAAAGTTCTCTTACTCATAATACCCTTATTTGCATTCACATTATTAATAGTGTAATTCTCTATTTAATGATGTATCACAATCAGTACAAATTCTTGGTGATTTCTAACAAGCCTTACAATATTTAGAACAAGGTAAACAAACAGAAATATCCATATAATAACCTTCCAAACATCTACATTAATCTTTATCTAACCAATAATATTTAGATTCATCACATTTAACACATTATTATAAATAATTTGGAGATGAAATAGATAACAATGTAAATTATTAACTTTCTCCACAAATCAAACATCCTATTTAACAATTTTATGTATTTGAACAAACTAAAAAGTTTTCTAAATTTGAACTACAAAAACATTATCCATTTTCATTAATATATCCACTATAACATGTTGTACATGAATATTCCTAACAAATCATACATCCAGCTTAACATGATTAACAATCTTCTGAATATTAATTATAGTAATAACCATTAGCACATTAACCAGAAGATAAAGATACATCAATCTACCAAATTAAACATCCTGTATTATCACAACTTTAACAAAATTATGGACAAGGTTCTATCATTATTCTAAAATTATATACACCATAATATTAGTATACACCTAAACTATCCTTTCTTTGAAATGTTATTTATAAAGAATTTGTTGATGTTATAAGAAAAGGTGTCTCTATAAATACTTCTGCATGGTATTCCAAATTATTACCATTTCCTACCTAATTCCCAACGGAAACAAATTAAAAATTATAGGTAGTAGTTTTTCCTACCAAATAAGGATTTGATTCTTAATTTGTTGATATTTAAAATTTATCATCAATTTAATAATCTATTGCAATTACATTCATTTTTATGTAAGCTTTATAAAATTAATAGGGTGATATAATAGTATAAGTTATTGGAACTCCATCAAAAATTGATAACCCACCTAAAATTGAATATTCATTCATTCCATATATAAATTTACTAAATTTTATTTCCTAAAAAATGGAAGGCTAATTTAATACCATTTTTGCCATTTCACTCTAATAATTGTTATTATCATAAAAAGAATTGAATATATATTTGAATTAATTACTCATTCCATTTTCTTGACATATAGTACCAATCTAAGTTGTTTAAAGTGGACATTAAGTGACACATTTATCATCAAATAGGTAATATCCTGTTTAACAAGATAAACAAGATTTCTTATTCAATTTTTTACAAGTCATACAATAACCTAAACACTCATTTACATTTCCTAATTATGTTAATTTAAGTATCTAAAAATCTGTTATTCCCCAACCTCTAAATGGTTTGATTATAGTAAATCTACCTTCAAATGTTAATGTATTTATTTCATAATTTAGATTCATTATAAATTATATATCTCTATAAGAACAACGTTAATAATTTGCAAATTGACATTAATTATGATTATTTCCTATTGCTTTACCTACATTAGATAATAGAAGAACTTCATCATAGTCACTCATCTCTAATACTTTAAATCCATTAAATTTCAAATTGATTCTACCTCCTACTTATTATGATTAATTATAATGTAGAAAATATAATCGAAATCTCACTAAAGTTAAGGAATTTGATATTATAGACAAAGGTGAATAAATTAATTATTCATTATACATAAATGGTCCTGCAATCTTTTCACCATTTATTTCCATTATTCTATAATTATTATCATTTTTATCTGAATAATATTTATCCTTATTTAAAGAAAATAAATAAGATGCAAAATTACTCTACAAATCTTCAAATAATACTGTTGTTGTTCCTAATTAACACATACTATTTAAATCTGGTATATATCCTAATGGACACTTAACTACCCATTATAAATCAGGGTTATACAGTTAAAATTCTTTTTAACTAATAAATTAACAGTTTCCATTTTTTGGATCTTTATTATTTTCACATTTTAAACAAATTCCATTTATATCACATACGTCACAGTATTTGTCACAGAATTAAACATACAAATAAAAATTTGATAATGCAAATATTCTAGTAATTGGTAATCCTAACTTAACTATTTCTATATTAATTTAATTTGCTGTAAATTCTTAACTATGAGCTATTTTATCTAAATAATCACTATTAGTATTTGGGATTGAAAATGTTTAACAATAAATAACCTATGGAGTTGTTAAATAAGATTTATATGTATTATCATAAATGATCTCATTATTCAAATATATAATTGTTCTAGTATTATCCCAAACATCAATATAATATAAGTCTAATTCAATTCTAATTGCTGAAAACTTTCTATTTGTTGGCATTAAAATCCTTCTCCATATCTTATCCTTACCACCTACCATATATACTGATGAAACTGAAGTGCATATATTTGAGTCTATTGTTGTTAAAGAACTCAGAGTTGAATCAGAATTTAAACCTATCCAATCACTACTTGATGCCACGTCATATAATTCATGCTTGTAAACTTCCCATTCTACTCTCAGTAATAGATAAACTTACCACAAATCACGACATACAATTAAGTAACTACTATTAAAGCTTTCATTTATATACTAAAAATAAATATGCTTAATTTTCTTTCCATATTAATACAAAATCCTTATTTTTAAATCAATTATTATTCTTTTATAAGTTTTCTACATTGCTTATTAGATTTTCTTTCTTTTAAACTTAATTGTATATCACTTTCCTTCTCAAATTGATATCTTATAACTAACAGGATTAGAACATATATATAATTTCATTTTTATAAAAGAAATATTTCTAAATTTTATTATAACCATAATTATATATTTAACTTCAATTAAAATGTTAAGACTTTCAAAATAATCCTTTAATCTTTATTGAATTCATAAAGAATCTTAATCCTACATTAAATATACCAATATTAAATAGAATTAGTAATAAATACTATTATATTAATATGTATATATAATTTATTAACAAATATTAGCTTTATCAATTTTTATTATAATAGTATTGTTAATATCTAATACATTTGTGTATGACTCACTATTAAACCCCACACAATAATCCTTTATTGATGTATTTTCTTATTTAAAGGGTTTTAGATTCAATGGTGATGGATTGATAATTCTTGGAAAGCAAAAGTGTATTGTATTTTAATTAAATATGCAAACTTACTTTAAATCTTTAAACAAAATATTTATTTAAAAAATCAAAATATGCAACCAAAAGAAATTCACCAATAAATACCTCCCCAAACTACTCCATAATAAATGAAGACTATCATTTTCATAGAAAACTTAGATTAGGTATGAATTTCTTTTAGTACATTAAATAGGGTATTTCAGAAGATTATCTATATCGTAAATTTAAAGAAGTAGGTGAAATACAAAGTTTAAAGATTACAAAAGACAAGACCACACAGAAATCAAAAGGATAAGCATTTATTACATTTGCTCATCCTGATTCTGCTGAAGAAGCTAGAAAAAAATTTAATAATTAAGTTTTCATCAGAAATATCATCAGAGTTAAACAATACTTCAATTATCACAATGCTGATAAAAAAGCCAACATCTTCATCAATAATCTCTCAGAAGATGCTGATATTTTAGAATTGGAGTAAGAATTTTCAAGATTTGGAACTGTGTTATCTGTTGATATTCATAGAGACAGTTAAGGAAAGCAATTAAAGTAAATAATAGTATATAATAATTTTTAGTTATGGTTATGTTCAATTTGAAAAGAAGGAAGATGCTGATAATTTGATTAAGAGAATTATGAATCATCCAATGACTCATAAAGGAAAGTTATTGAAATTGGAATCATTTAAAGCTTAATCTGAAAGAAAAGTTGAATCAAGTTCAATCTATTTAAGAGCCTTTGCTAAACCTTTACAATAGAACTATTTTGAAAAAGAGAAGGTTGTCAGAGCTATTGAACATGGATGGTCATTGATTATTAAAGATTATTTCACAAAACATGGCTTTTAAATTAAAGATTGTTTTGTTAAGATTGATTAACATACAAGATAACCTTGGACAATGATCTCATTCGAAACATCAGAATAAGCAAAATATCATTTAGATATTTGTGAATTATCAAGAACACATCCATGTATAAATTCAGGTGCTCATCATGCATTGGAATTAATTAATAAACATGGTCCACCTGTCAATAGTGATGCAAGTTAAGCTTTCTCTGTTGCTGAAATTACTTAAGCATTCAAAGAAATGGCATAAGATCATAATGACACTTTCAAAGGAGAAAGTGAAAACTTCTTTTATAATATGGTCTATAGTAAAAACTTAAATCCTGATGACAGATTGATTCTCGTTTAAAATATTAAGGATGATGTTACAAAAGAATAAATCTTAGATTTCTTATCAAGATTTGGAAAAGTTATTCGTTTAACAATTAGAAAAACTAAAAATCCAAGATTTTAGGTTTAATAATGTTTTGTTCATTATCAAACAATGGAAGATTCAAAGAGAGCAAGATCAGAAATCTATGATGATAAAAATGAAGAGATATCTAAAATAAAGAAGTAAATTTTTAAGGATGGTCATGTTATCATGAATATTTTGTTATCTAAAGCCATGAGAAAGGAATTCAAGGAAATCAAAAAATAAAGTCAAAGTATCTTCCAAAATCCAGGAGGAAGACAATTACTCTAACCACCTTTTGCTGGAAACCTTCAAATGATGCCTCCTCAAATGCCCTTCCCTCCTGGATAAAATGGAATGAGACAAATTCCCCCAAGAGGAGGAAGAGGTGGTCCTTTCACTATGGTAAGACCCTAAGGTATCAGACCTCCTCCCATGAATAATAAGCCTTTTTAACCACCCCCTAACAAAGTGGTTACATCTTAGACATTCATCTAAGAATTTTCTGATTACACATTAATTTAAAATAGAATGGAAGAATTCTTAAAGATTCCTCAAAGTGATTAAAGAAATGTACTTGGTAACCTACTTTTCTAAAAAGTCTTCGAAGTTGTGAAAGATAAGGAGTCAACTAAAAAAGTTGTAGGTACATTAATATTGTAAATATTTAGGTATGCTCATTGATCCATCATAATTTGAAATTGGTGATATATTGAATATGTTTGAAGACAGTTAAGAACTTCAAACTTATATTGATGATGGTCTTGCATTGATTAAAGAAGAAACTCAAAAATGAGTTATTATTATTGCATAAAGTACAAAAAAAATAAAATAAAATAAATAATTTAAATATAACTATGTTCGTTAATAATTAATATCAATCATAAATTATCTAGAGAAAAATCAATTGAATTAATAATAGCAGAATCTTTTCGAAAGGTCTATGCCTTCTCTCCAAGATGCTATTAAACTTAAGGTGACACTCTTCTAGCTGTTTTCTAACTGAAATTTCGTAAATGAAATTCCATTTTGTTTGATTTTTAAAGTGAATACTGATTAACTTTCTTATTTATTAATTGAGTTTTATTGTATTAATTCAATCTATCACTTAAACTACAAACTGATTCCGAATTATCCACTTTCTACTCTTTATAATAATCCATTTATCTTTGTATTACTCGAATGAATTAAGTTTGAGAAACTTAATTGTTTTAAAATTACTCATATTAATAAAGTAACATTCTATTATTATTTTCAGTCTTTATTTTATTTTTAATCTTTAATCCTTTCATACTAATTATCCATTAGGTATCTCCCATACTATTTTAATAGAATTACTCATATTAATTGAGTGTTTCTTCCCAATTATTATGTAAATTATATTTTAAATTTAATGATAATTACTATTTTTAATTCCTAAAGTTTGCATTTGATATATCATCTATTTTCTACATATTTAGACAGTTTTATTAGTATTTTTTAATAAATTCTTAGTTTTAGAATATAAAATACTCATTAGAACTTAATGGTTTTTAAAATACAATTTTTGTTTAATTTAAAACAGAAATAGTAGAGGTACCAATACTTGATAAATACTTCCAGTGATATTTTAATTTCATTATAATCAAATTAACAAAAATAGCAATTATTAATTTTTCTTGAAGAACTTCAGTAAGATGATATAAATTTTTTATTTCCAAAAGAAGATTATTACTATTTTAATATTTTCTAATAATTTAAGAAATATTTGATAAAATTTCTTAGATTTTTGGTGCCATATATTTTTGGGATGATTGTTACTGTCTATTAGGAATTTAATAATTTTATTCCATTAATTTAACTTAATTTAAATTTAATCTGAAAATCCTTCTATGTTACTATTAAGATTAAGGGGATAATAGTTAGCTTTTTATCTCTGTTGCTTACAAATTCTAAGTTATTGATTAGTAACTATTTAGACTTGATAAATTCTCATTCTTTTACGAAGTTTGATGATCTTCATTTTCCAAAAGTAATTTCTTTCTTAAATATTAATTTTCATATTTCTTTTAAATTTTAATTATTTACAATGATGCAATAGACATTTATTTGGCCGTTTTATTATAAATATTTAAAGAAAATGGATTGATATTCTTTTCTTAAATAAATTATAAAATAGTGACTAAACCCATCTATGATGCACTATGAAGAGGAGTATTTTTATATAAATCTCTTTTTTGGAAATCAAATTATGTATAATTACTAGCAAATCGTACAGCAGCTAAAGATGGAAATATAATCGCAGCATGTAAACTAGTTAATTTCAATTGGTTTCTAATGTTTGGATCGCATCCCATGTCTAATAGAAGCTATTCTATAAGTTTTTAACTACTTTGACCATAATTGATGCTTATTATTATTGTTATGCATTTCTGCCAAAGGATGTCATTGCTATATGCATAACAGTTGATCCAGAAGTAATTAGAATTTTATTAGGTCCAATAATATCTTTTTCTATTTGATAATTTAATTCGATTCCATTCTATATTAAGATCTTCATTAATTAAATATCCTATTGTTTTGCTGATAACATAAACAAAGTTTACATTTCAATTTTATTTTTCTTAAAAACAGGTAATAAACATTGAATACACTTCATTCTATGTAAATTAAATGCATAAAGAAGAGGAGAACATTCATCCTCATCTTTGATCAAATTCAATTCTGGATATTTTTAACTATATTGTTTTAATAATCCTATGGAATCTCTTTAAATAAACGTAAATAATATATTCTTACCACTAATATTATTAAATTTAATACTTTTAAATAGATTACTAGATATCAAACACTTTTCCAACCATATAATAATAAAATAATGAAAATGTTATAATTTCTTATTTTTATACTACTCTTTAACCCAATAATATTAATTTTTATTTGATTTATTTGTCAAGTTCACTATTTATTTTACAATAATCAAACCAATCAATATCAAAACATTATAATGACTCTAAAATTTCTTCAAATTTTGCTGGAATTGTTGTAAATAAATTTGATCTTAAACCAAGATATGTTAATTTTAATTAAAATAATTCTGAAGGTAAATATTCTATATTATTATTATTTAAATTTAGCTCTCTAAGAGTTCTTAATTTAAATAAACTGGATGGTAATTATTCTATATAGAGTAAGATAAAAATTATACTTATTTAATTATCAGACAAAATTAACTTTTCTAAATTTGGAAGATAAAATTTAATTGGAATTTCTTAAATTTGATTATTACTCAAATTGAGGATCTTAAGGTTATTTTAGCATCTGAGATAAAATATAAGAAAAAATATACTTTAATTGATTTGGAAATTAATTGAATAAGTTATTTGATGCATCTAATTCTAATATTGATTATGATAATTTATCCAATGCAAGTGAAGTAGAGGATAATAATTAATTACTTAAATTTACTTTCAAATAAGACTCTTTTATATGCTATTTTATACATCATTATTTAATTCTTCTTCTTTTCTTTATTTAAGCTTATCATTTTCAAAAGGAGTTCTTAAAGTAGGTACAAATGTTTTTTTAGAAATTTCCTATTCACTGTCTAAAACTTCATGAGAACTTTTTGATGACAATTTACTCATTAATGATAGTAATGTTTGCATTTTTTTATGATTAAACTTTTCTTCAAATATATAAAAATAATAATATGAAGTCATTATTAATAAGAAAGTTATTCTTATTATTATTAAATCAACCATGAAAACCTCTTTTTGATATAATACAATAAATCCCAATCTTGGCCAGAAGGACAACTATATTATTTAATATTTAATTTTACGTTGTATGTCCCAATTACTTCTAAACAATCCTAGGACCTTCTGATTAATTTAATCTCTCTATTAAAAAATATATCTAAAATAATAATTTCTATAATTATTACTTTTTCTATCTAACTTAAATTTTCATCATCATTATATGTTATTTCTAAGGCAGCTAATGCAAGAGATTCTACAAACATATGTTAATCAATATGGCCACTTTTGATATTTGAATTTTCTTAATTCTCATATAATTTAGACAATATCTAAAATATTTAAACTATCTTATTTTTGGTCAATAAATCAGGGAATATCGAAAAATCCTAATAATTCATTATGATATATATATTTACTTTGTAAAATCTTAAAAATTATTCAAAATTCATAATCTATTTACCAATAGTGTATTATTTATAATATACTAAAATTGATTTATGTAGCAATCCTAAAAATTCAACTATTTCTTTATCCTTTAATATATTCATTAATTAAGAGAGGAGATCTTTCATTTTATTTTCTGGTCCTTGACTCATTAAATTTAATACATGATCATTTAAAATGATTCTTAATACATGAATATCATTATTGAGTAATTAGAGACCTTTTAAAAACTATAAGAAATTCATTGTTTATTTCTTTTATTTTATAGGAACTGATGTTCTATTATTTTGAGATATTGTACAAGCTTTGGTAAAAATTAGATCAATTTCATTATGAGGTACTTAATAAGATAATTTACTATTTTTATCAATTAAATTTATATTAACTAAATTAGCATCTTTTAAGAATTTCATCCATTTACTACCAACCAATTCATTATCTTATCCAGTCTATTAATTAATTCCTGAATATTATCTATAGATATTAAATAATTATGTATAATTTTCTTAAAATAATTATTAACATTATTCCTCAAATTATTTATTAATTTAAATAGATGGTCTTATTCTATTAGTAGGTACTGTATTAATTCTTTTAACTTATTCATCATAGAATTCTTCATTTTTTAAATGATGAATTTTCATTCTTTAAGTAGTAGAGTTCAAATATTAAATAGCATCAGGATCACTAATTATTAATTCTATAAGTTCTTCTGGTACTTTTAATTTCCAATTTAATTTAGAATTATTTGATGGTATTTCTAAATTATTAAAACCTTGACTTAATTCCATTCGTTCAAATAAAAATGCTAATTTTTATAATGGAGTTATCATTTATTATTCTTGTGTGGAATCATCAAAACTTTAAAGTGTCATCGTAGCTAATTTAATAATATAACAACAAAATTAATTAATATCAAATTTTGATTTTTATTTTTTTTATTAATAAATTTAAGGTAAATTAGGATCTGCTTATATATAATCTAAAAGAAGATAAGCAGAGCCTTTGGTAATGAATTAAGGACAAATTTCAAAATCTTTTAAAAATAAAAATAGAGATGATCGAATCTACTATTTCAACATTAATTCTTCTTATTAATCTTTCAAATTGAAATTTTTAAATTAAGGAGGAAAATATTTATTATAAATAAAGGTAATTGGTTAAATAACAACTTATATTAATTTGAGGCAAACTGGATCAATTTCTTAAGATAATTTAGTTTCCTCATCACCTAAATCTGTTGAAGAGATAATATTCTCATATAATGGAGTCAAATGATTATCCATTAATATTTAAAAGGAATTTTCATCTCCATATAAAGTTTCAGATAATAATTCTAAAAAATAATAGAAGTTTTCAAAATCCATATTTGGTTTATTTCTATTTGCTTTAACAAAAAGTAAATCAATATATTATTAATCTTATTTTTGAAGTTTTATTTATGAATCTGACATTAATTTATGTATTTTATTTGATCTAATATAATCAATATTGGTTCTGTCTCCAAAAGATGCATAAAATTTGAAAATTACACTCAACTTTTTTTTATCATCTACTCTTTTGACTTCAATTACAGGTATCTCTACCTTAGATTTTTGCATTTAAAGTTTATGTTAATATTTTGCACCATATGAAAATAATTGATTTTTTGTTGTTTAGATTGAATAATTTTCTTTATTATCTATTCTTGAATATCCAGTCTCTTCTTTTTTATTATTCCTTATTCCACTTTTATTTCTTAATTCAATACTATCAATTCTTGATTCTAGCTTTTAGAAATCTCTTTATAATGAATAGTTAGAACTTGAGTTTCTCATTTAATTATTCAAATTTTATAATTAAAAAAACAAGTTAAATGAAAAATATTTAGAATACAATAACAATACAGAAGTCATATATATTTCATTAATTTCTTCTATTATTCATGGTATAATTAATTAAGTTAGACTTAGCAGAAATGCCAGGTAATATTGATAAAGTTTACTTTTCAAATAACTTATTTTAGGCATGTGTAACAATTTAAGGTCCAGCATAAGAAGAATTATAAGAGGTTTACATTGTTGATAAATTAATTTTATTTTATTAGATATTTGTTCTTGTATTATTAAATTTAGAAGTAAGCATACAATTTCTATTATTATTTATATTTTATGGAAGAAAATTAGTTTTAGTTTCTTATTTTTAATTATTTCCAAGTAAATCATTATTTCTAATAGTTTATCTTAATTCATTTTGAATAATAGTCTCTTATTTAATTTAATTTCCAATTTTTACTTATGGTTCAGATTTTTTAATTTCAAGTACATTTTCTACTTGTTTTTCAATATGATTAACTTAATTAGCTTAATTATCTTCTTATTCTTTTTAATTAGATTATTTTTCATTTTCTTTTGGTTATCTTAATTGTTTTTCAAATTGTTTCAATTATCGTTAAAAACCACTATTTGGACAAATGACAAATCTTTTACTCTTAACATGAGAGAATGCTTCACTATATGTCCATCCTTTATTTCTCATCAAATAAGCTATAACAATGGATGCTGATCTAGAAACTCCAGCAGCACAATGTACAAGAACTGATCCAGATTTCAATCCATTTTTTATATGATAAAAAGAGTCATCAAAAAACTATGCTATATTTGCTTATTCTGAATCAAGAATTGAATATGTCTATAATTTTATATATAGTTTACTTTATGATTCATATTCTAATCATTATATTTGATATTAAGTTAACATGCAACAGTTAACACAGTTCTTATTCCCTTTTTATCTAAAGTTGGTTTGTCTTAAGCAGCTGTATAATCACCCAACCATAGTTAATTTCCATTTTCTTCATGAATAATATTCATGGCTTAATAAGAATTACCCAAACTTCTATACATATTAAAATTAATTCAATAATAATAATCCATTTTAAATGTGTTATTTATAATCAATTAAAAAAATTTCTATAAGAATAATGAATTCATATTTAAATATTCTCTAACAATTTAATAAATTCCTCTTCTTCTATAACTCCATCTTTATTGAAATCACATTTTTATAAAATATCATCCCATGCTTAATTATCTATTTCTATTCCACCAAAAATATTTTCTAATTCAGATTTGCTTATCACTCCATTACCATCCATATCAAACATCTTAAATGCTAATTTTATATTATTAATTGTAATTTTTTATTATTAAACTAATGCAGCAGAAATAAATTCAGTAAAATCCACTTTTCCAGATTCATTAACATCCAATTCTTAAATTAAACCATTTGCCATAATTTCTGCTTTTAAATGATCTATATCTGCACTTAACATACCCTTCATCAATTCATCTTTAGTTAAAACTCCATCTCCATTTTAATCTAATGTTTTAAATGTTTAAAATAATTTTGAACTCTCTTCTTTATTTACTAATTGAACAGATATAAACTAAATTATTGCAGCTCTCAATTTACTTTATGCTGTAAATTGACTTAAATTCTTAATTAAATTAATATCTTCAATCTCATTCTATTAGATATTCTAAATCCAAGGATGATTAAAAGCTTCTTACATACTTATTCTATTCTTAGGATCAACTACAATCATTTTCATAATCAAATCTTTAGCTTATTCATTTGTTCTCAACCATCTCTCACTATTAGTATTCAATTTTCCTTATCTTGCTAATCTCAAAGTCTCTATATCACTAGATCCCTTAAAAGGAGGTCTTCCAATTAATAAAATATATAAAATAACTCCACAAGACCATATATCTACTTTTTCATCATAACCTTAATCTGACAATACTTCAGGAGCAACATAATAAGGTGTTCCAATCTTTTTAGTTAAGAAAGATGAATCAATCATCTTTTCACTTGCTCCAAAATCAATCACCTTTAAATTTGCATCTGGATCTCTTGAATCAAATAATATGTTTTCAGGCTAAATACTTTAATTTTAAGTACTTTTAAATCTCTATGAACAATATTTTTCTAATGACAATACTAAATAGCTGAAAATACTTATCTCATATATTTTGCTGCCAAATTCTCATTATAATTTGTTATAGTTTTTATTCTCTCTAATAATTCCCCTCCTTAACAATATTCAGTTACTATATAATAATATTTAAAATCTGCAAATATTTCCAAAACCTTCACTATATTTGGATGATCCAAAGTCTTCAAAATCTCTGTCTCTTCTAATAATTTCTCCTCACAATTTATTGTTTTCCTTAGAACTACCTTTGCAGCTCTCAAATGTTCTGTAGACAAATGTTTAACTAAATATACTTCTCCAAATCCTCCTTACCCTATTTTCTTTACTATTTCGTAATGAGCTAAAAACTTTTCTGTTATACATTATTTTCTCACCAACATCTCAGGAGTCAATTTCATAGTTCCACTAATAGTTTTCTTTACAAATTCTACTGTATCTCCTTCCTTGTGTTTAGTTTAAACTTACTATTATTCCAAATCCTTTGAATATCCTTATTCTTTTGATAATGAATGAGATTTAATAAAGCTAGTTTCTTTGTCATGAATTATTATTTTAGAATTAGCATTAAGCTATTAATTCTCAAATTCTAGTCCTTCTTAAACTTCGTCAATCTCATTTTATGGATTCATTATAGCTTATTTTATGTTTACTATTTTACCTTTGTCATCATTATACAATTTACAAGCGCAACAACCCATTCTATGATTAAGACAATTAATAAATATATGATATATTTAATATAGAGAATTCTTATTCCTAAGTCTATCAATAAATTGTTAGATGATATGATCATCGACATATTCTCCTTAAAATTAATTTATCAAAAGCAATTTTATTTCATCACAAACAATATCAATTTAGAATATTGAATTGTCAAACTTATCCAAATCAATACATTGTTGTTAAATAGTTTGGCCATTATAACAATAAAATATAATAATATTTTATTCTAAAACAATAATCTTTTTGTCAAATCAATCATTCATGAAATTACACCAATTTTATTTGTAAATAAATAATTATGTGAATTGATTACAGTAATATATACATATAATATTTAATCTAATTTTAATTAATTTCTTTTTCTTTTTTTCAACCATCTTATTTTTCTTTATTTATATACTAAATCTAAATTTATCAATTAAATTTCAAATTACAATATCTATTTTTTAAGATGAAAGAATAAATTACTCATAATAGATTTTTATTTTCATTTTTGATGTACTACTTTCCAAAAAACAGATATTAAAGTAGACCTTTAAACCTGTCTTATTATACGAAAATAATAGTTTTATTATTATATCTTGCTAAAAATATATAAAAAATCATTTTTTTTGTTTTTTATTATGATATTTATTTTATATTAAACTTCTATTCTAATCAAAAATTTACTTTTTTAGATCAAACTATAAATTACCATTTATTCAAATAATAATTAAGTTAAAGAATCTTTAGAATTTACTTAAATTCAAATAAAAATGATGATATTATTTTGAAAACAATTGTAAATGTATTAAATTAAAATTTTAACCACTAAATTGGAGTGAAACCCAAAATTTTAAGTAAAATAAAATTAAAAATGATTTTGATTAAAATTAATTTGTAAATAAAATGCTATATTTCAATCATTTCTAAACAATTTTTCATTAATAAATGCTCTTTTAAGTGCCTTTTCTCTTTTTATTTCTTAATCAGTCTAAGTTATTGCCTTGATTTACTAAAGTTTATTAAAAATACATTACTTTTTCTTGCATGTCATCATCATACAATTAAGTTATCGGTGGTAAAAGTTCATGTTAAGATTTACGTTTAACAGAAAGAAATCTCTCTATCTTTTCATGTTAATCACCTTAAATATTATGTGCACTTCTAATAAAATTAACTGGTAAATCCTTTGAAATATATCGAATAACATACAGCACCATAATTCTTCTTAATATAAAATTAAGTAATATTTTTAGAATCTTTGATAATTTTTCTGATTTAATAATAGTTCTTTGTTTTTCCATTAAATGCAGCACCCATAGGACTTTTTTCACTCTCCTCTGAAAACACAGGCTTAGATATAATATGTTATTTACTTTACCAGGAGAACCAACAAATTAGAGACTCTTTCGAGATTCCAATTTTCTAATGGTTTCAGATTCATGAAATTAATCTAAATCATTAATTTTGGATTCTGGTTAACTGATGGCTTTAGTTTAAGCAATGATAGTATTTTATAATTAAGATTAAACTTTCTATCTCTTAGCTTCTCCTTCATACAATCCTTTCTTCATTGCTTGATTAGATGCTAAACTCTAAATTCTTGTTATTTCATTATTATGAAGATTGATTTGTTTAAGTAAAACATCATAATCTTTTTTCATTTGTATGATTAATTTATATTCAGTTTCTTATAATTTACCCTCTAATTATTCTCTTTCCTTTTCTTACTTAAATAATAAATCACTATGTTATTTTTCAATTCGATATTTTTATACTTTATACACTCTATCTTATTCATGTTTCTCTAAATCTTTTAATTCTTTTCTAAAATCTAATGCTTCTTCTACTCTCTCCTCCAAACTAACCAACTTTTCTTGAGTTTATAGATCCTTTAACTTTTTTTTTGGTTTAACTTTCATTAATTCAGTATCTTTAGAGAGTCGATCTTCCATTATTCCTAATTCTTTTTCTTATGATATTTTTAATTATGCTCTTTATTAATATAATTAGAGTACCTTCTTTCAATTTTATACTTTGTTAGTTATTAAAATTCTTAATAGTATTTATCATAAAAATCATCTAATTTTTCTTATCCTATTTCCTTATATACTTTTCTCTCTTTTATTGATATACGTTATCTTAATTAATTTTAATAAGCTGCTATATTTGCCTCTAAAGTTCTTAATTCTTTCATTAACTGTTTGAATAATATATATTCTTATATTTTCAATAAAGCAGTTGCTACTTAATGCATTTTTTCTTTAATTACTGAAAAAACTAGAATCTACTCATCTTCATTCAACATTCTAAGAGAATTCAATTAATTCTTACCCATCATTATCTTAATCAAAGAGATCAAAGAAATCATTTTCATTTTACAGTTTCAGTAATTGTACTATCTCACTTCTACAAGCTTCAAAGATTCTTTACACAATAGTAAAGTTTAATTAAGCATCAGTCACAAAATCATTTTTTCTCATTTCTATCCATATTTTTGAGCATTTTTGAGGTGCTGTAATATACATTTCACCTAATAAATGAATATATATAATACCTTCATTTTTAATTTAATTAATAATATGTCTAGGTAGATTTGATAATGCAGAATAATTAGACTGTTATATTTTAGTGCTGATTGTCATTGATTTTGATTCCATTTAATATTATTATTCAATTATATTTATAAAAATTATTATTTTTTATTAAAAATTACTTCAAATTCTACATTTGATACTTTTAATTTGACAAATTAATTTAGAATTTAAGTATTGTATGATCATTCAAATTTTTATTTATATTTATATATATTTAATAAATAAGTAGTTTAAAGTTGTTATTAATAATTTACGATATAATTTATATCAATTAATAAGTAAATAATGTTATTATTTTTGCTTTTTATATATGTAAATTCATATTTAGATGCTAATAAAATTAAATACGCTGTTGATGCAGGCAATCAATATTATTATAAGGATAGACAAAAAATATTATATCGCTATGATCAAAATTATAAGGGTGGCTAACAATTAATGTTCTATTAAAAGGTAACCTCAGATTAAAATCATCATTTGATACCTCTTTAATATTTGGATTATTATGTATTCTAAACATCGAGAACTGTATCTAGTGATCAAGATTTTTTCAAATATTCAATTACTATGAGATTGAATGGTAATTATACTTTAATTTTATGTTTCATTGAAGTATATACTAATTTTATAATAATAATATAGTCTGAATAACGATCAGCACGCTTTTTCGATATTTATTTAGAGGATGAATTAATAAAAGAGTAATTTGATATTTACAAGGAAGCAGGAGGAATAAATATTCCACTTTATTTTGCTTTTGAATTTGAATTTGATGGAAAAAACATTACTACTAATCGTAAGACTATATATCAAATGAATGATAATAAATTACACTTTGATCTCACTTTTAAAGGTAAAGGAGCTTCTGTTAGTGCAATAATTTTGTATTAAGGTAAGATAGAAGATATCTTAATTGATCTAGAAAGTGCTTTACTTTCAAAAGATTAAATTGAAGCTACCTTTATTAATTAAATAGAATTTGTTAAAGCATTAAAACAAAAAGCAGCTCGTTATGCTCATAAATAAAAAGGGAAGGGAAATGAGAATGTAAATACTTTGATGAATTAATATTTGAGTCCATTTTAAAAATTAATCAATAATTTTGATATTGGTAATAATGTGTATAATGAAATTTCTAATGGTTTAGATCCATCTCCATTAGAATTATTCTTAGATACTTTATTAAATGTATTATTCTTGTTATTAAATATTTAGAATATCTTGATGCCATTAGGAAGTGTTTTAGTTCAGATTATAGATTTTATTTTGGATAATAAAGTTCTCTCTACAATTTTAATGATTAATTTAATATTGTATTATTATTGTTTTGACAACAATAAAATTATGTTTGCCAATGTTCCTGTTGGTTTAGTAAGAAATTAATTTACATTACTTAGGTTTTAGATCCAGAGGTTGAAAGTGAAATCGAAATCAATTATAATACATAATCACCAAAATCACGACATGTAAATGTATTGAAATCAAAAAAAAAGAAGAAATGATTTATAAAATATTTTAATCAAATTACAATTTAATGAGAAATAACAGCTAGTAAAAAGAGAATACCTCATAATTAAAAGAAGTAATTAAATTAATTCTATTTTGAGACAATTCATAAATTACAATAGAGGGATGCTACATAAAGATTTGAAATAGCTAAATTAAAAAAATTATTAGTTGAAAGAAATTAAGAATATAAGTTAGCATTTGATTAATTATAAGAACTAAAAAGAATATAGTAAAGAGTAATTAAAAAATATTATTATTGATAGGATAATCAATATATATTAAAAGTAGACAATTATGTTGCTAAATTGAAATAGAAATTGTAAAAAGCCAATATCAAAATTGATTCATTAGAATCAAAATTCTCCTCATCAAGAGTCAAATAAAATATTACAATTGATGATTCATTCAATGGCAATGACTCATTTCAAACAGATCATTTAACAATATCAACTAAACATCCAATTCTTAAATAAACTTCTAATCGATCAAATAAAGCTTATTCTGTTAATAAACCTAAATTAATATGTAAACCAATTAAAGTTTAATTACCATATCCAAATACTAGTTACACAGAAAATTAAGAAATTTTAGAAAATAATTCTCTCAATAAACCTTATCCATTACAAGAATAAATTCTTAACAGAATACTAGATGATGAAGAATTTATAAATAATTTCAGTAATTAGTTTGATTAGATGAAGACAGATTTATTCTCATATTAGAAAAGCCAGACTTAACCACTTAATTTCTCATGCAATTCAAGATAAAGTAATTTCAGTTTTGTAAATAGTGAAAAAAAGTAAAATCGAAATGATAAATAATAAAAATAATATAATCGATAATGTATTTAAATTATTTTTAATAATTATTAGATCATTCAATATCAATTGAGGAGAAGGAAAATAATAGTAAATATTTTAATTGATAAGATTCATTTATGAAATATATAGATTAATTTTAAAACATATCTAAATATTTAATCATTTTTATATATTATTTTCTCTAATTGCAACATTATGAGTATTTTATAGTTGCCAATTATTAATGTTATTTTCATTAAATATATTAGTATAATTTTATTTTGGTGTTAATAATTGAGCATATGCTAAACTTGGAGTAAAGCTATTGTTTCTTGTTGTCATTGAAGTTGATTAATTTATAGCTCCAATAAGATTTAAGTTTAAAGAAGGAATAGTCTTCTTTACCCTTTCAGTTTTAGGAGCTATATCTTTTTTGTTGGATATTAATTTTTTCATATCCAATATTTATACTTATTTCTAATGTTATGAGGAATTGTTGTTTTTTTATTAACGTTAATTTTAATCTTAAGATCTTTTTGAATTTGTTTTATTCTGCAATCTATTAAAATTTAATTATCTAAAAGAATCAGGAATTTTTAGTATTTAATACAAAGCCTTTTAATCCAAAGATAGAATTTAATGATTAGTATTTTAGTTTTAGGAAGGTGTTTATTTTGATTCATGATTTGATAGATTATTACTTTTGATATTCTTCATTTCTTAGAGACTTTTTATTATTTTTAATTCAAGTTATTTGATTTCTTAAATAGCTTTATTTTGATCAATTTTTTTTGGTGAATTGCTTTTTTTATTCCTTTCTTCTAATTTGAATTTTTTACTATTAGTGTAAAATATATTAATTACATGAATTATTCTTTAGCTTATTTAAAATCCATTATTTTGTCTCTTGAAATAGTTTATGAGTTTTTATTTTAAAGTTTAGCTTAGACTATATATGGTTGCATAGAATACTTTAATCAATTAATTTATTGGAATAGGATTATTGATATCTAGCTGATAAAGGCATTTTTGCTTCTTAAGGATTTTAATGAGTTCTAGCAGACAAAGACAAAGCGAGTTCATCTAATTTTAGCGATTTCTTGCTTTAAATCTTCTTCTTTTTAAACCATTAGTATTATTGTTTCTAATTTGGAGAATCTGATTTAAGATTTAGTAAACTAATCATTTATTATATTTCTCCAATAGGAGGGGATTCAGGAACTTATAAAATACGACTGATTTCTTGGGAGGGTTGAGGTTTCTTATTAGAGAAACTGATTTCTTTAAGAATGTTATCAACATTAACTTTAGATTATGGTTCAGAATTCTCAGATTAAGGTGTAGAATCACTTAGTAAAGGTTTATCACCTACAATTCCTTTAGGTGGATCAGTTGGATTCATTTAATTTTCAATTTCAATTTATCTTTAAATTTTGTAAAATTCAATTTTCCTTCTTTTATCATAATAATAATTGAGAATTTTGAGTATGGGTTATTTTAAGACCCATCTAGGTAAATCCTTATGAAATTTGTAAAATTCTGTAAGCAATTTTGATTTGGAAGGATATTCATGCATTTCATAAAATCTTTTAATATATTCATCTTCTTCATCATAACATATATAATCCTTGTGATATATTTGAATGTTTTACATAATACAGAATAGTTCTGGCAGTAGAAGTTTTGGATAATATTTCATTAATGTCTTTGGTATAATAATAATTTTATGATGTTGCGTATTTATGATAGAGAGTATGTCTAATCATTTTATGTAAATTGATTTCACAAGGGAAATAGTTTTTGATATATCCTAGAGTTGTTCTTTTGTAGCAAAATTAACAAGAATAATTAGACATTTTAAAATTAAATATAAATAAATATAAAATATTATTAAAATAATGTAAACAGTATGGACCTTAATACATCCTACAAGGATAAGTGTATAGAAGACAATAAAGAATTTATTACCATCTGGCTAAGAATTTTTTGGTACTGTAATAAGAGATAGTAGAAATAAATCATGCAAAGTATATTGATCTAATTGAAATGATTAGGTAAAAGTAAGCTATAAATATTGGCATAAAAAATATAAATCTTACTTTGGAAATTCTTCTGAATTCATAGCACATGATGAAGATAATTTTTGTAAGGTAGGCGATAAAGTAGTAATCAAACATTGTTAAAAAACAGGTGGAAAATATTACTATGTAAGAAATGTGGTAATTCCAGTGGGTAGGAATCCATCAGATGTGTAAGATGATGTAATGAAAGAGCTCTAGTAATATTTATTGCATATAATTAAATTAGAAATATAAGAACACAATTGGTTCAATAAAGTTTGTGATATATTATTCATACATAAAATATTTATAAATAATTACAAAATATTCTTCAAATACAACCCTAAATTTTCTAGAATTTAGAGATTTTTACATCACAAAAATTCTTAATAAAATCATATCATTCTATTAAAGAAACAAGAGATGATTAGAGGATAGAATCAATATACTTATTAGAATCAAAGTATAATTGAATCCAATGTTTCTAAATGAAATAATAATTTCAGATAGAAAAGACTAGAAGATTATATTCAATTATATAAAAATTATTATGAAAAAAATAGAGTTTGATTTCTATTATTTCTTAGTTTCTATATTTATCTAATTTAAATTTAATACAAATATATAATACTTATTAAATTAAATAGTTATTCAATTTAATAGATTTTCTATAAAAAATGTGTTTAATAAAGGTTGTATAAATGAAATGAAATATATATTAGTCTTTTTATAATTTAATTTAGTTTAATAATCTTGATCTAAAATAAATAGTAATTTAGGTAGAAATAAGACAGGAAATTATAAATTAAATTACCCGGCAAATCTGGAGTTTTTAATATTTCCCTCTATAATTTATTTAAATAATTAAAAAGATTAGATGTTTGAAGCCAAGTTTGAAGATGGTGTCTTATTTAAAAAGATTGTTGAAGCAATTAAGGAATTGGTAAAGAATGTAAATTTAGAAGCAAATGGAACAGGAATCTCATTATAAGTAAAATTATGATTTATTTATTTTAAGGCTATGGATACATCTCATGTTGCTTTGGTTGCATTATAATTAAATGAGAAAGGATTCAAAAAATATAGATGTGAAAAATCTTTAACTATGGGTTTGAGTATTGAGAATTTATAAAAAATTTTGAAGTGTTCAGGAAATGATGATTAGATTACTCTTAGAACTCAAGAAGAAGAACCTACAACATTATCATTCACTTTCGAATCAAAAAGTATGTTTTTTTATAAAAATGAAATTAGACCGAATTAGTGAGTTCCAATTGAATTTAATGTCTTTGGATTAAGAACAATTAGGTGTTCCAGATACTGATTATTCTTCAGTAATAAAAATGCCATCAAATGAATTCACAAAAATATGCAGAGAATTAGGAAATATTAATGAAGCTATTGGTATTGAAACATCTAAAGATGGAATAAAATTTTATGTTAAAGGAGATATAGGTGAAGGATAAGTTTCAGTGAAATCTAATGATTGTGAAAAGAAAGAAGAGAGAGTAGAATGTGATGTTGATGAACCTGTAAATTTAAGTTTTGCTGTTAGGTATATAATATATTATATTTTGTATAGATATTTCAATTTATTTAATAAGGCAGCTGCATTATCACCTTAAGTTATTTTATCTATGTCTCAAGATTAACCATTAGTAATTGAATATTAAATTGAAAATATGGGATCATTAAAATTGTATTTAGCTCCAAAAATAAATGATGATGAATAATAATGAATAATTGTTTTTTAAAACATATTTAATTTTATATATTATTTTCTTTTTATGTAATAATAATAAAAACAACCAATTCAAGAAAGACGTAGAAGAAGTGGAGCTTTACATGCTTAAACCTGTGAAGAATATTTAAAAGTACTAACAACCATAAAATATAATACAGAAATATGATTAAATTGGTCAAATAAAAATAAGAGAAAGCTAAAGAAAAAAAAGTTTGTCAGAATCAGCTTTTCTCAATTTTGATTTCATACCAGATGATGAAGGAGTTGAAGATATTACTTAATTGAAAATCTTCATATACTCTCCAAAGTTAAAACTCAATGAATAAGAATTTTTGCAAATATTGAAAAGAGTTAGAAATCGTTCAATCACAACAGACAACATTTCCAATAAATCATTTACTTTTGACTTTGATTTCTTCTATAGAGAATATGAAGTTAATGAAACTCAATTTGGATTGCATTTTTGGATATAAAACAACATTAAACACCAACACTCATCATTCTTTTAGTGTAATTAAATTTTATTTACAATTATTTTAGAATGTTATTATAAAATATTTAATGCAGCTATTCTTTTATAAAGAGATACAGCTATTGAATAATAGATCAGAGATGCCAATCCTAATTGCATTATTAAGATATTCCCATTAGTAAAGAAATATAATATTTTAGATGGATGAGTTACTGATTGAATCATTGCAATCTATAATTGCTGAAGTAAAATATATAAAAAATATGAAAGATATGCCATAATCACATTAAATCTTGATCTATATATAACTTATATAACATCCAATTTATTTATATATTATCTTTCCATTATCCACACATCCTTTAAATAATCTCTACTTCCTTAATTCCTAATCTTCTCTAATAATCATTTATCTATCTAATCATAAATTCATTCAAAATAAATAAAACCAATTTTAAATCCTTCTTTTATTCAACTTTCTCTAAAAATTCATTAGCTAATCCTAATGAATGAATTATTTTAAATAAGAATGATAAAATTATCTTATTCTTTTCTCCATAATATTCTTTAAAATAATAATCAATAAATTAGAATTTTTATACAGCTGTCTATATAATGAATGGTGATCTATAAGTTCCTATTCCTATAAAATATGTAATAACATTTATGGCTCTAATTTTCTTTATTTTATCATCCACATTTAGTTTATTTAATTATTCTAATTCTTTTTTAAGGATTTCCCCTAAAAATCTTTCATGTGTCAATCTATATGGGATATTTAGAAATTAATTCAAATATTCTCCTTCTCCTTTATATTATTCATAATGAGTCTTAACATGTTTATAATTGAACAAGAATTTGTATGGGAATAATTTTATTGAATAATAACCCATATTTTATAACCATTTCTTATTAAATATTTCTTAAGCCATATTTTTATATTAAATTTTAGTATTAATACTTAATCAAAACTTCATTACTTATATTTCAAACTTTTTATTTACTAAAACTCTCATTTTTCATTTTACTATTATCAATATCCTTATTTTAATAGATAATCTCAAAGTATTCAAAATATTATTGATATTTATAATTTTAATGAATAAAGACTCACGCTATGCATATGTAACAATTAAAATTTCCTAATGAAGACGAAATCCTCAATGTCACCAAATAAGAATTTAAGACAATCTGAATAGAGTGCTCAAACTTATTCCACTGGTTTTACAAAAAAAAACACTTTCAAGGCCACCTAATAAAATTAAGCAGCTCTTATAAGTTAACTTCCAGAGATTTAAAAAAAAAGGAATAAAAATGAAGCATTTGTGCATTCATAAGAATTTTAAGAAATTCTTTAAATTGAATAAGATGAAAGGTATAAATTTATAAACATAGAAAGATATCGATATTTAATAAAAAATGGCACAATTAAGAAAATTGAAAATGGAGGCAATATAATATTTTCTGAATTGTAATAAATACCAGGCATATGGGTATGTTATAGAAGACCATAAGAGAGATAAGCAAATGCAGAAAAATTAAGTTTAGATTGGCTTGATTTATCACATATGCCATTATTGGAAGGTGAAGAAAAATTGAAAATATTAACATTTCAACATAATCGAATTGGCACAATTTAAAATTTAGTTTCTTTACCTAATTTATTGTATTTAGATTTATATGATAATCAAATTAAGGAGATAGAAGAATTAAAATAAGTGTAAAAATTAAAAGTTTTGTTATTACCAAAAAATTAAATACGAAAAATTCAAAATTTAGAATATTTATAAAAATTAGAAGTGTTGGATTTACACAGTAATAAGATAACAAATTTGGAAGGTTTAAATAAATTAAAAAACTTAAAAGTATTGAATCTAGGAAACAATTTAATCTAAAAACTTGAAGGTATGGAAGAGTTAACTTCACTAAATGAATTAAATTTGAAAATAAATTAGATTGAATTTATAGATCATATCTAAGGTAATTAATATAATAATATAATTGTTAGTACTTCCATAATTATAAAAATTATTTTTATCTTAAAATAAAATAAATTAATATCCATTTATTTTTGATTTATTGGAATTATCATTAGAAAATAATCCAATATCATAAAATAAATCTGAATATTATAAATATATTTGTTCAAATTATGAAAAATTACGAATATTGGATGGAAAATCAGTAGAATTAATTAAATAAGATATTTAATATTTAGAAATTCCTAAAAGTGAACCAATAAAAAAAAAGAATTTGAATTAAATGGTTTAATAATAATAATAAAAGAAACCATAAAAATTATATTAATTTGGATTAGAGATTTAAGGTGTAGGTCAAGATTCTAAATTAAAGGATGATATAAATCCAATTTAATTATCAAAAAAAGATGTAAACAGTTCAAAAAATTAAACAAAAGATGTTTAATTAAGTCACAAAAATTCTATGTCATCAAATGGAACTGAAGATGAAATAATATCTTTGATTAAAAAGTAATGGATTCAAGAAAGTAAAAGGATTTAAGAATTAGAATAATAAAATTAATTAAATTCTAAAAGTTGTTTAGAACATTAAATTTTAGAAGGAGGACATGCTGAAGTAGAGGATGTATAATTTAATATAATTTTAGGATACATTTTTATTAATTTATGGAACAGCAGCAGGAATGGTGCTGCCAACTTAAAATTTTAATCAAATAATTGAAAAAATTCATTTTCAATATATGTTTTTCGATTCACTTATTGACTCATAATTATAAGTAATAAAAGAATATACAAAATTAAAAGAAATAATTTTAAAAGATAATTATATAAATAGTCTACTTTAATTAGCAAAATTAGAAGTATTATAATTAGATTAATTTTAGCATTTAATAGATATATAGAAAATAACAATTTAGAATAATCAAATTAATAATTGTTCTTTTATGTTTTCGTTTCTTGTATATAGAATTCCTACATTAATTCAAATTAATAATAAGGATGTAAGAAATGAGGATCGATAGAAAGTATTGTTTATTGGCATTTAACAAAGGCAAAATTACTTTTCTCGAATTTCGATAAAGCATTAATCATGCATGAAAAAGGATAGAATAGTGATAACTTTAGATAATTGAAAAGCTATCAAAAAAATAGACAATATATTAAAACATATCAGAAAGCATTAAATGAAGTTGTATTTTAATAAAAAATAGTTATCAATTAAAAGAAATTAGTAATAATTTTAATTTATTTAGTTTGATAATATGTTTGAAAATTACCTAAATTAAATAATCGAAGTATGCAACAATAAGGAAAAATGATATCATTTTTTATTTAATACTTATAGTTAATGAAATACTTATATTAAACTCTTGGAATTCTATAGATATTTTACTTATCAAATTGAAAGAATTTATAATAATAAATATATTAAGTCATGATATTAATATTATTTATATAATATTATGATTAATTATTATTGTCTATGAAAAATTAGGCTGTTCAGACTATAGAAACAGGTGCAATCTTTACTTTTTAACCTTTAGAAGTTATTTAACCAAAACGATCAATAATACCTAAAGATCTTGTTAAGAAGAAGACAAAAGTATAGAAATCTTCTTTAACTGATGATCCTCTTCCATATTTAAAACCACTAAAATAAAATAACTAAATCAAATTGAGACAATTAATGTTACCAAATATTAAAATTTAAGAAAAGCCTTAGATTTCTAAACGAAGTGAACGATATTTATCAATATAACAGAATTCTTAATAAATTTCTAGTTGTGTAACTAAATTAAGAAGATACTCTCATTATGATTTCATTTGCAGAACTGATAGAACACTCTCAATATAACCAACTTAAAGTTTAATAACTAGCAGAGCATACATTAAATAAATTTGATAATTATATCAAAATTATAATTTATTACTAATTTTGTTCAGCGCTTTCTTTTGAGTTTAGGTGTCTTACTTATTGAATATTTTATTTTTGGATTTTCATCTTCAATAAGATGTTCTGCCTATTGATTTTGAGTAAAATTTGTGAGATCTCTAAGTAAATGATTATTTTACTCTTAACTAGTTTTATCTTCTAAGAATTAATAATAAATAATAATATTACCTATATATTCTATTTGAATTTCTTGAGTTGAACCCATAATTTCCCATTCTCCATAGAGATAATCATCTTTGTGGAAATATGAGTCTTTTTATTATAAGTATAATAATTTATAACAGCCTTCATATACATATAAGTTTAAATTTAAATAAAATTGTTAACTACTATCATCTTAATTGTTTAAAGGGATTCTAGCATATTAAATCACATTAAATTACTAAAACTATTGATTCAATTTTGTTAATGTATAATGTAGATCTTCTTTGAAATCTTTGAGATCTTGTAAATAAAGACAATCCTTTTTTCTATTCAACTTGAATCCTTCTAAAATTACATTTAAATCCATTGTTAAAGAAATAACCTTATCCTGATTCATAGAATGCAAGATGATTTATTCTATATAGAGATTACTATTCGGTATATCCAATCCTTATTCAATATTTGTACAATTGCAACGAAAAAAATTCATTATTAAAAATGTATAAAATAATATAATCTTCCTCAAACTAATTAAAATATAGATTATTAATTGATGAATTATTTTTATTTATTACCCTAAGTAGTGAGCACAAATTGATAATTAAAAAGGATATTAAAAAGGATATTCAATTCACTAATATAGTAAAAGAATATCAATAATATAAATAAGCTTATTAAAAGCTAAAATTAGAAACTTATATCTCATTATTAATAAATTAAACACTTTTAGAATATTATTCATTGAATTTATAAGTTTTATTCATGATAAATTTTAAGCTGAACCATATCAATAAAGATAACATAAATGGATTGATATTATTATTAAAATTTGATATTAATATTTGAAAAATATAAAAAGAGCAAAAATAAGAACAGATATTACCTATAATATAAACAACATATTGTTGCTTAGATATTTGATAAAAAACTAATGCGATTAGATTAATTTATCTATTTTTATCGATTATATAATAAAGATTACAATAACATATTATTTTAATTTATAAATTTAACTAAGTTATTAATAAAGAGAAGTTAGCTTTAATTCGATATTCAAGGAAAAAATTGAAATCTTCTATGTAAGAAATAATTTGAATAGTACATATTTTTTCAATTTTTTACAGAAAAAATAAAATCAAAAACATTATTAGTCATTTAGTTCATAATTTCAAGTCTTGAATATATAAATATCCTCTGATTTCAACATATTCCTTAATTTCTTTACTGTCTGATATTATAGCTAATTACTCATTCCTTTAAAGTCAAATAGAATAAAAAAAATATTCCTAATTTAGAGAATCCAATATTAGAGAAAGTATAAATTTTCTAAGATTAATACAATTTGGAATTAAGGCTAGACATTTATATAAATATAGTTTACTCATAAGACTATTAGAATTGCTGAAATTTAAATAAGATCAATTTTCTTAATTGGAAGATATATTTATATAATCTAGTAATTACGGAAGACATAAAAAAGCATAATAAGTCATGATTAATGAAAAGCTATATAGTATAGAATAAAAAATATGATTTTATAAAAGGTTAATTATAATTATCCATATTGAGTAAGCATTAAAAAATATACAAGTGAAGGGATAAATTTGAAATACATTAACATTTATGAAATTACTTTATTTACTAAGGAGGAATAACAATAAATGCATAATTAGTTTACAATATAATTAATTTATGAAATATATATGAACTTCTATTATTACACTAGAACTGAGACAAGAGATAATGTAGAATACCTACTTGTATAGAAGTATAAAATAATATCATCTTTAGAAGAGATTAATTCTTATGATGGTTAGATAGAATTAATTCTTAAAATAATCTTTGACATGAATATTTTAATAATCATGATGATTGTTTTTGAATGTTAACCTTGGGTTTGGAACGATTACTTTAGACCATAGCATGACTTATTTTAGTTCCTTCCAATTATGGATTAATTTTAGACATTCTTTCTTAGTTACTATCGAGCATTAAATTAGAAGGAAGATTATAGGTTCCTAATAATCCATCATCAGGTTGGGTATCAATTCTAAATTGGTTTTTGCTTAATTCATCTATTTTCTTATCTTTAATATGATTTTAGAGACCATTACTCTCTTGATTTTTTTTTGAATTCAATGATTTCCATTCACTTGTGGCATCCCTTATTCCTACATCATATTGATTTTATTATTTATTATTATTATTTATCTATTATTAGTTTCCTGAATTTTCTAATTCTGAACCTACAGATTGTGAAACTGAAAGCTTTTAAGATATATTATTCTGTAGAGAAGCATCTTATTCGGTTAAAACTATTTATTCTTATTTTGGATCAATAATTGGAACATTTAAAGAGCAACTTTTACAATTACCCATTTGTTATTGATAATTATAATAACAAAAAAGATTATTAATATCAAAATAGATATGAATATTAAAAATTATTTTTATAATAAATTGCAATTTGATAATCAGTTTGTCAATAGATATAAAAAATGATTAATAATAAGGAAAATTATTTATGGGTAAAGGTCTTGTATTAATTTCGTTGTACCTTTTTATAGTCATGAAATTTAATATATAAAGTTTTTTAAACAAATATATTTAATTTTTTTTAACAGATTATATGAATTTAGCAATTTCATCTAGTTCAGAAGAAGAATCCTCATATAATGCTAAAGAATAGGACAGAATATTAAAGAATTCAAACATTTTTAAATAGAAAGCCAACTCTCATTTGAATTGCTTGAAACATCCAAACAAAAAAGTATGAAACAATTAAAATTATTATATATAGGCTAAATATTATGCTTAACTCGATAAGAGAACATTATTCTGTTCTAAATGTGCTTTGAATTTAGCATTGAAGGGTCATAAAATTGAAGAGAGTGCTGGAACAGAGTTAGAATTCTAAAGACAAATGAGAATTAATTAATTTTAAGAATTGATGAAATAAACTTTATAAGCTTGCAATTTTAAAATAATAGACTTTAATAACTTGTAAATAAGTCAAAAGTAATTGCTTGAAGATTAAAAAGCAAATTGTATAAGATTTTTTGAATAAGTGATTGAAACAGCTCAATAATTAAAATAAACATATATTCAAAAATTTTAACATGATCATTCAATTTTGGAATAGAATATTTTGGATTGTTAATAAGCTGTTACAAATTATGAAAAACAATTATAATAATTTTAAATTGATATTGAAAAAAATCATTCAAATATAGTAAAAAAAATGGAAATGAAACCTTTTGAAGATATAATGCAAAGATATGAGAAAAGAGTAAAAAATATTTAACAATTATTATCAGAAATGAAATTAGATAATAGTGTAAAAATAAATTAATTTGAGCAATCTTAAATTTTAACATTTATGAATAAAATGTGTTACAATATATTATTGAATGATACATCACAATCAATAAAATCTAGAAGCAATTCAATAAATAATAATAATAATCCTTCAATTGATATGAAAGCATTTGATATTTTAGAAAATGATGATATCTATTAAAGTACATTCTCGAATACAATTAAAGATAACAATAGCTAAAATCCTCCATCTCCAATCTCTAAATTGCCAATTTATAAAAATAATGGATCTAATCCTATTTCTACAATATAAAATTCTAGAAGAGAAAGTAACTCAAACACTCCAGAAAGTTGGAATCATACTAATATACAAAATTGTGATCAATAATCATAGATTGCCTTATAAGCAAATAGTCATAATGTAAGTTTGATTGAATAACCAATATTGATCAATTAATAATAATAATAACATTGTGTTTAAGATATAGTAAAATAAACAAATGATAATCCATAAATATAATCTAGCGAACAATAGAAAAATTTAGAGATAACACCTTTGATTTATTAGAAGAGTTAATCCATCTTACCATAATCAATTAAAATTTACAATAGTTAAAGAAGTAATATTATTTAATATATGCTTAGATTAATATGATTCTAATAATAATAATAATAATAATAATAATAATAATAATAATAATAATAATAATAAATCTCAAGATTAAAAATAAAGAAAAAAACAGACATCTGTAGATTATTTTGAACAAAAACGATTTTATATTATAAATCAAAATCAATAAAAACCATAATAATAATAATAAGAAGATTCATTGAAGGATAGAATTTTTAAAGAATTAAGTGGACATTCCAGCGAATCCGTTTATAATTAAGTTTTAAAAATTAATAATACATAACAAAAAATTAAAAAGGGAAAAGAGAATACTCAGATTGATTGGACTGGTAGTTTAAAATATAAGTAAAATTTATTAATAAAAAAATGAGTAATTAAATTATCGATAAAATACTTTTTTTCCTTAAGAAAATTTCACTTTATAAATTATATATACGTTATTTTAGCAAAGAATAATAAATATGAAATATTTTTTCTTAATTTGGTTTGTTTATTTGACTCTTGGGAGTTCAATAGTAGGAAAATAAGCTTCAGGTAATCATAGTTAGTATTTGTTAGAATAGTTCTTCCCACTAATTATGGATTGGTTCAAAAAATAAGGATAGAAGATTGACTAAGCTTTGGCTTTTAGTGCACTAACCTAAATTATTTAATTAACTGATGAAGAACTATTGTAAAACACTGAAAATTCAGAGTTTATCAAGACATTTTAATAATAAGTATTCTGTTAGAGTAACATTATAAAGATATTGAAATATTGCAAAGAGAAAAAGGATTTTGAATATGATAGGATAGAAAATATAGAACAATTCATTGAAGATGAGCTTAAACACAACTCTAACTATTTCAAAATTATGATTAAAGACAAAGAAAAAATGATAGATTAAGATAATAAAGAATTAGAAAAAGTTAAAAAATCCATCAAAGATCACACTAAATTGTAAGATAAACTAAATGATATTCTGGAATTAATTCAAGAAATTGATATAAGTAAATTCAAATATTTATCTGATAGGTACTTAAATAGGAACAGCTGAAAAATTATATAAAACATTAGAAATTATTGAATCAAAAGCAGTTATTGGGTTATTTAAATAATAATCTGAAGAAATATAGCTTTATTTAACTCATGTTGATTAGCTATTCAAGAATAAAAATTTTGAATAAGACTAAGTAATTATTGATATTTTATGCAAGTTTGAAATAATTAATCTGATTTCAATGATAAAGAATATCTTGTTAGACATGAAATTTAATATATAATTGAAAATGTAAGATGATGATATGGCAACCTTTGAAACAATGAAATTTTTTGAAAATACAAAAATTACTCATTAAATAGCACTGGATTATTTTAAGGATGAATCAAATTAATTTTTAGGTATATATTCATATTAATAATAGGTAATTTAATGAAAATATGGGAATAAACTTTTGATACTTAAAATGAAATATACAAAGATAACATACAATTTTGTTAGATTATTGAACAATTAACTTAAGAAACAAATAAAATTGAAGATTCTCTTAATTCTTCACCATAATTTAAAAAATACTCTCTAAAAAAGACAGAAATCTAATTCTTAAAGCATTCAAATTGATTTGATAGAGTTATTGATATAATTTTTCTATATATATATATATATAAATAAATAAATAAATTTCAATAATTTAATAAATAATCAACTATTTTATAAGTCTTCTTCTAATAATCTTTCTCTAGAGAATAACTAATTGCTTATTTTGTAGATCTCTTAGTAACTACAGATGAACTTTATTTTTATTAGGAAAATCTTTTATATAAATGAGATAACGCAGATGATAATGTTTAAGGTTGTTATCTTTACATAATTTTCTTTTATTAAACTTACTGCTATTATAATTATTAGTTTGATTATTTTTGTTTTTATTAATTCATTGACTCATTTAATGGTGAAGGCAATTAAAAATGTTTTTTCTTAGATTGAATAGATTTGGAAGTCCTAATTTCAAAATTTTCATGTGAAGTATTAGCTTTTAATTTATTTTAAGAAGGTAATTCTTTTTAATAAGATGATCTTACACGATATCTTTTGTTAGTAGATGGACTTTAACATTTATCTTGAAAACATTATAATGTATTATTATTAACATCAAGACTAGGTTTAGCTTTGAAATGTTGCTATTATTAATATTACAATGATTATAGTTAATGCGATTGATGATATTATTCAACATATTTAATAATTTCTTTGGTAGATTGTTATGTTTAAAATAGGCTTTCAAATTCTCTTGTTTATGGAATTTATTTGGGACTATTTGGTGTATTTATTTAAGGAACTGATTCTTTTTAAAGTGATCTTGAAGAAATAAGTCTAGAATTAAATCCTGATTTGATATCACTTATATTACAATCCAAAATACTTTAACGAGGAGGGGATTATAAGGAAAATTAATCCATTTCACTATCAATTAAATCTGCTAATTGTTGTTTTTTCTTAATAACTTCCTTTTTTTTTGGTGATTTATCTACTAATAATTAAAGTTTGGTTTAAATTTATGATAAATCCAATAGAATTTCTTATCTATCAAGATTAAAGGATGATGATGATTTTAATGAATTATCACATTCTAAAAATACTGCTTAATTTAAAGAGGAATCTCTTGGTATTGATGGTATACATGTATAATGACTGAATGGAGTAGATGTTTTACTTGAATAATAATCTTCTTAATTATTATCGAAATTAATGAATTGATTACAATTTTTATCATCAATTTTATCTTATTTGTTTGCTTTAACTGTATAATCCATAGTTTCTAATCTCCAAGGTTTCTTTTCTAAATATTTGCTAATACGTAATAAAATTAACTAATTGTCTGCTTTTTTTGAAATAAAATATTCCAATTTTTGTAATCTTCTACAATAAAACTATTCAATCTTTTTTATCATTTTACGGAAATATTTCTCTACTTCTAATATAGGACTATTTTGTTTTTCTTGATTTATTAATCTATAAAATAGTTATTGTATATTTTAAGCAAGACTTCGTTATGGTAAATCGTTAATTAATGATTCTAATTCATAATAAAAATCATTCATTATTTAATATAATTAAATAAATACTTTTATTCAAACTCCTTTCATTTTTAATTTATATATATATATCTAACTATTTGAGACTACTCTTATATATTCAGAATATTAAATCAAATAATTATCTTAAAAATTTACAAAAAAATTAATTATGCAAAAGGTATACCATTTATACTTATCAATTTAGAACGATTATGGTTTTGGTGGTGATGAAAAAGTTAAGAAAATCGATAATGAACATTATGATGAGGCTATTGAATTGAAAGATGAAGAAGATGAAGAAATTGTTAGTGGTGAAGAAGATGAAGATTAATGTATTGTTTATATATACTTATTTATTAGATTAAGCTGGAGCTAGAGGAGCCCAATAAGCTGCATAAAGTGCTGGCTTTTAAGATGGAAAAGTTCCCTTACCTGCAGGAGCTTATAATCCAAATGATTATTCAAATTTATAAGTAGGTGCAGAAGTCAAATAATTGTTTGAATACATTGCTAGGTATTTAAATTTCTATAAATTTTAGATACAAAGCTCCTTAAATGGTTTTGGATGCAAAATTAAAACCATTCATACCTGATTATGTACCTGCCATAGGTGAAGTTGATGCATTTATTAAAATGCCAAGACCTGATGGTTAACCTGAGACACTTGGTTTAGTTACATTAGTAATAATATATTTAAATAAATTTTAGGATGAACCTGCTCTTAATTAATCTAAAAAAGCTAAATTAGATTTATTGATGAGAGAATATGTTAAGGTAGCCAATAGAGGTAAAAATACCACTATTCATGCTATTGAAAATGCAGATAAAAATCCAAAAGAAATTACTGCATGGATAAATGATGTGGCAGAAATACATAAAAAAAAGTAACCCCCATCAGTTTCTTATTCCAAAATTATGCCTGATATTGAAGAATTAATGTAAGTGTGGCCACAAGAGATTGAAGATCTATTTTAAAGTACTTAATTGCCAGGTGATAATATTGACATGGGTTTATAAGAATATTGCTAATTCTCATGCAATTTATTAGATATTCCTGTTCATTCAATTAATAACAATAGAAATATCATAGAGTCTTTACATGTCTTATTCACATTGTTTTCAGAATTCAAAACCAATTAACATTTTAGATAAAACAATGATGAAATTTAATGAATATTCAATAATATAACATTATTTTCATTTTCATTATTCTTCTCAGATTGAATTAATTTTGAAATATTTATTATAATTATTAAATGCATACACTTATTATTTCGGTTGTATAATATTTAAAGAAAGGAAAGAAGAAGAAACTAAAACAAAACATGTAAAAATTTGTAAATTATGACAAAATTTTTGATAGTGATGAAGAAGTAGCCGATGAACTTATTTCATAACCTAAAATTATGCCATCTTATATATATGAATTTAATTTTGAGAAACTATTCAATAATGGAATTTCTTTACCTTTTTATAATTCAAACATCCCAATCACATTGGTTATTGGTGAAATTAATGTTGGAAAAACTCATCTAATCTAATAATTAATTGGAACACCATTATAAATTATTCTAAAAAAGCATAATTCAATTTTATGTTATCAAGATTAAAAATAATGTTTTTTAGAAGTTTCTATTGATTGGAATGATTTTGAGTCAGTCTTCATTTGTAATGTTCTACAAAAGATATCAAATCTAACAATTTTAATAAATGATTCAGTTAATAAAAAAGTATTATCATAATTTGAACTTTGGAATAATGTAGTGATTGTACATAAATACCTCATTTAAGAATAAAAAGACTTTTTAATTGAATATAGAAAGTTGAAAGAACATAAAACTTTAAATAATTTTTACTATTAAAAAGGGTAGATTCATTTATTTTATGAATAAAATGAAACTTATAAATAAATTTAGAGTATAAATTTAAATAACAAAAATACATTAACTATTCTCGAAGCTATACAAAAAACCTTAAATTAATCAACATATTTATTACCATTTAAGATTGATCTTGTGTATATCAATAAAATTATTTAATTAAAATAGTAACTATAAAATAAAGACATTGTAGTTTAATATATAAAAGATTATTATGAAAATAATGAGTAAATCTTGAAATTTAATTAAAATAAAGATTATACATTAATAACAATAACAAAACCTTATTTAAAAATATAAAATACTTCAGTTGAGATAGAGAATTCTCAATTACTCTTAAACATTATGATTAGAGATTTAAGATTTGCATTTATCATCCCTTTTTTATATAAAAGAAAATGTGGATTTGCTCAAGTTTAGATAAATATTTAATAAGATGATTTTATGATATTATCATTTAGTTGATATTCAAGTAATATTTATAAAACCAAAAATTTTATAATAATTTTGTTTTGTTATTATTTATTTCTTAATAATAGATCAATATGTCTTTTTAACTCTTTCAGCATTTTTAGGAGAGTCATAAATTGTGGGGGGTCTACGCATTTCATGTTGGAAGTGATTATATTCAAATGTTCTATTTGATCTTCTTGTATATGCTAATTCCATAAGGAAATCAAACATATCATCCTAAAAAGTTTAATTAGTATTTCAATACAGTGCAAGCATATGCAGCTTCATAAAACATTGCATAACAAGGATAAACTTTAGCTCTCTTAAGATAATCTGCTTCTGTTTTATCCATTTTGAAATGCTCAGCTTAATCGCAATCAAACCATTTCTAAAATCTAAGAGCACATAAAGTGAAATAATCTTATTGTGATTAATATGTTGGATATGGCACATACACTTTTTGTTTTGGTGGTAATCCAACTTAGAAACAGTTTGTTCTACCAGTTGGAGTAGTACCTCTGAATGGGAATAGACAATCTTCAAGTGCCCCTATATAAAAATTATCATTTCAAGTTTTTACATCCTTCAAATAATATAGTGTAAACATCATCAGGTTCCATCAAAGAGTATTTATTTGCTGTAGTATCAAAATAAAAACACTAATTCTCAATTGAATAGTACCTTAGTATATAATCTAAACCAATCCTTTAATTACTCTTTTTCCCAGACTGCATCTGTTCTCAAGATAAAGTCTTTCTCATAATCTCTCCAATTAACTCCTTTAATATGTTATAAATATATGTATTTAACCTTTATTGGAGAAATCATAATTGGGTGGCATTTTATGGAAATCTTTTGGCAATGTTTCAAGGAGAGGTTGAGTGGCCATAAAATTTAATTAAAAATAAAAATGGATTTTAAGGATATTTCAATATTAATATTTGGAATTACAAATACAAACTATATATAGTTTCTATATGATTTACTCTTTAAATATAACATTAAATGATTATTAGATAATATCTAATTATATTAAAATATGGATAAATAATAAATATAAAAATGCCTCTTTTGCCAATAGAAGACAAGTCTTTGCAATTTAATTACTATGGTACTTCAAATATCAATTTTAGGCACTTTAATATAAATATGAACACAAAATAGAAATAACAATTGATGATTTTGTTGACAGCAGTAAAAAGAAAGAAATTGTATAATTTTATGAGAAAATCTTTGATCATGAGGAGGAATATTTAGAAAAGCAGTTTTAAAGAGTAGAATAAATAAGAAGACTAAAAACTCTTACTGAATATTATAAATATGAAATTCATACTCCAAGATTATATATGAGAAAATTGGAAAAAACAATTAGAGATTATTAAAAGCATAAAAAGTATAATATGAACATCATATTTTAGAAACTTTCACTATAATAAAATTAAATAAAAATTAGGGTTGAATCAAAAGGATTAGCAAACATTAAGAGTAAAAACAGAACCAGAGAAAAATAATAATATTGTAAATAATTTAGTATTGTTTGATTTAACATAAGAAGAACCATCAAAATCAGTTATTGAGTTATTAAATCTAATTAATAATTAAAGTAAAAAGAAAGTTTAATTTGCAAATCAAATTAAATAAACAGCATGTGTGACTCCTTCAATTTAAAATTCAGCAAGAAATAAAATACTCTAAAAATAATTAAAAGCAATATTATAAACAGATGTAATACCAAAATACTAGAATGCTCCTATTAGTAAAAGATCAGTAGTATCATTAAAAACTTCAACTTTAAAATCAAACACATTTCATTCAGCTAAATCACCCATGATATAAGTAAATAGAATTGCTATTAAAATGAAATCTTCCCCTCTAATTTAATTACCAAAAAGCAATAGTTAAAGTAAAATATAAGTTAGTCCAAAATTAAAGAATCTAAAGCTTTTGCTCTAACATAAATCATGAATTCATTCTTATATTTTTATGTTATGTGTATATATGACAGAATTTAAGATTTTGACAATTAAATAATAAAAATTTTTAATTTCAATGTTCGAGACAATAATGAAAGAATACAATCAAAATAAAAAAGGATTAGATAAATAGGATGGTATGGTTTGAATTATATCAGAACTTTTAAGAAGACAAATTGGAATGTTGGCTGAACCTATGACAAAAAAAGTCTTACATGGATTAAATGCAAATATTGCTATTCTGCATTAAAATGAGTAAATTATTGAGAAAGAGACAAAATAATTACTTAAAGAAACTGCATAATTGTAAAAGGAATCTTAATAATGGTAAATTCTTTACAATAATCTAAATGAAACATTAAAAGTAATTATATTAATTGTGATTAGTCTAGAAAGTAGGGGACATTGTAAATTTTGCACAAATTATAGAAAATGAGTTATAAGAATTATGTGAAAGTTGATTAATAAAAAATAAGTTAATATAAAATATATTCAAATGACTAATCCTTGGGTTGGTCGATTTCCATTTGAAATGAAAGTATAAAAATAGAAAAAAGAAGACTTGCATTCACCAAATAGAAGTGAAATAGATTTCTTCAATGTTCCATCGATATCAGCTTCTGTTGGTATCAAATAATTATAATAGTTTAAGTTATGCAACCAAAAACAGTATTTGAAGCTCTGAAATCTTTGATGTTTAGATAAAAGGAGAACTCTGTCTCTTATGATGAGTTCTATTCATTTTCTCGCAGATTATATATTTGTGAAGATCCTGTAAACTAATTTATACAATATTAAGGATTAAAGTTTAAGGGTATTCCGTTAAATAGCAGGACAATCAGAAATTATTTAATTAGAGGGTAATATACACAATTTTAAATTCAATAGATTTTTTTTTATTTCNGTATCATTAAAAACTTCAACTTTAAAATCAAACACATTTCATTCAGCTAAATCACCCATGATATAAGTAAATAGAATTGCTATTAAAATGAAATCTTCCCCTCTAATTTAATTACCAAAAAGCAATAGTTAAAGTAAAATATAAGTTAGTCCAAAATTAAAGAATCTAAAGCTTTTGCTCTAACATAAATCATGAATTCATTCTTATATTTTTATGTTATGTGTATATATGACAGAATTTAAGATTTTGACAATTAAATAATAAAAATTTTTAATTTCAATGTTCGAGACAATAATGAAAGAATACAATCAAAATAAAAAAGGATTAGATAAATAGGATGGTATGGTTTGAATTATATCAGAACTTTTAAGAAGACAAATTGGAATGTTGGCTGAACCTATGACAAAAAAAGTCTTACATGGATTAAATGCAAATATTGCTATTCTGCATTAAAATGAGTAAATTATTGAGAAAGAGACAAAATAATTACTTAAAGAAACTGCATAATTGTAAAAGGAATCTTAATAATGGTAAATTCTTTACAATAATCTAAATGAAACATTAAAAGTAATTATATTAATTGTGATTAGTCTAGAAAGTAGGGGACATTGTAAATTTTGCACAAATTATAGAAAATGAGTTATAAGAATTATGTGAAAGTTGATTAATAAAAAATAAGTTAATATAAAATATATTCAAATGACTAATCCTTGGGTTGGTCGATTTCCATTTGAAATGAAAGTATAAAAATAGAAAAAAGAAGACTTGCATTCACCAAATAGAAGTGAAATAGATTTCTTCAATGTTCCATCGATATCAGCTTCTGTTGGTATCAAATAATTATAATAGTTTAAGTTATGCAACCAAAAACAGTATTTGAAGCTCTGAAATCTTTGATGTTTAGATAAAAGGAGAACTCTGTCTCTTATGATGAGTTCTATTCATTTTCTCGCAGATTATATATTTGTGAAGATCCTGTAAACTAATTTATACAATATTAAGGATTAAAGTTTAAGGGTATTCCGTTAAATAGCAGGACAATCAGAAATTATTTAATTAGAGGGTAATATACACAATTTTAAATTCAATAGATTTTTTTTTATTTCTCTCCAAAGATCTATTAAAATTGGATCTAACTAAAATGACTTAGTTTGAGCTAGTGATTCGAATAGCATTAGAATTATTCTAAAATATGTGTGATGATGATAATTAATTAGATTTGAAGAGAACTGTACATTTTATAAAAGAAGAACTCTGTGAAGACATAGATTTTGTAAATTATATAATTTATATAAGTTGGAAACAATAGACATGTTTGGTTTTGTATAAGATCTCTTTTCTGGTAATTTAGTTACAAAGATTTCTTTATAGGATTTTTTTTAAAAGGTTGGTCCATAAATTAGGAAGGCTTTAAGTAGTATAATAATAAGGAAAATACAATAAATAGTTGGATTTAAGAAAATTCAATTTCACACTAGATAAACAAATTAATTTATTCAAAACAATTAAGTTAAATCTGATATTTAAAAATTATTGCAGTAGAATTTTAAAATCAATTTTGATGTTGAAATCGATGAATAACCAAAATAATAACAATCATAAAAAGTTTAATAAGATCAAATTGTTAGTTTACTTTAATAAAGTAAACCAAAAATAAGAGGTTGGTTATAGAGATTGTCAATAAAGAAAGCAAACAAATGGCAATTGTTATTCTTATAAATAGATTAAAGTACAAGATATTTAAGGGCAGTTAAACCTGAATCTATAAAAATTAATCATTCTGTTTAGAACACAGAATTTATTTGTTTATTAGAATTGGTTACTGTTCCTACAAAAGGAGTACATAGGAAAACTAATTCATTAAATTCAGGACATCAAGAAAGAGAACCTGAATTATAAAGACCAATACAAACAGAAAATGCTAGCAGTTAAATCAATCCTTTTAGTCATTCCTTTATATTGAAGGAATAAACATAAACAAAAATAACCTTAATAAAATCTTGGGATATAAGAGAAATAGAACAGATTTTTCATGAAGTGAAGACATCAATTGATCCATCATAAAATTATTCAGGTATTGTTGAATTATGTCAATTAAACAATGAACCATTAGAAAAAATTAGATAAAAATTTAAGTAACTTGTTTTTAAAGAACATTTGATGGTATTAAATGAAGGAAAAATACATTTCTATACAGTTAGTTTAAAACATTGTATTGATTTAAGTAAAATGAGAATTTCAAATGATAAAGATTTGCCATTTATACCCTCTCATCCATTTCCATTTTAAATAGTAATAGATGAAAAAGCTCAAGTTGTCGGATCTTATTTAAAAGTCTAAAAGTTTGAATAACCAAATAAATAAAATAAGAGTGGTATGTCATAAATTAATGAATTGGAAAATGAGAATAGTGATAAAGAAGATTAAAAAAAAGGATTTTTTGATTAAATATATGATAAATTTAAAAAAAAGCCTAATCAAAAGAAAAATGAAATTAGAATAGTATTTGGAGCTGAATCTGAACCTAAAAGAAGATAATGGATATTCTCTTTGAATTATTATAAGTCTAATCAAACAGATTTGGAAGAGTTATTAAAACCATCATATAGATCTTCCTTTTAAACACCTATAATGTCCTAAGGAAATTATACTCCTTCTAGATCATTTATAAAATCTGCTTAACATACTTTACCATAATAACCTACTCAATAAAACTTTTTTATAGGAGGAAATCATACTCATATTAATGTTGGAATCTTTTTGAATGATGAAGATGATTATTATAACGTATTTTAACATTAGAATTAATTTCAAAGTAATAGTCAAGCTTAAAATTAAATGGTGAATCCAGATTTAGGATCAAAAAAATAATTGACTTAACCAAATAGGATACATTGTCATACAGATCCTAATGATTCACCTTAAAAAGAATGTAAAATTGTAATTAATTTTTAGAGAGGTTAATAACTCAACCTTCAAATGGGGCTCAAATAACTTCTAGATAGATTTATTCTACTTCATCAGTTGAATTATGGCAAAAATTTATTTTAGCATTTTTTAGATTTTTAATAAAATCAAAAAATCATCAACCTGATGAAGTTCAAGAACCAAAAATTTAACAATTATATAACAGATAATTAAAGATATGTAAATAGAAATGATGAAGATTAAATATAATAATTTTTCCATTTTATTGTTTATTTGATTTATTAATTTGTTATTATTGAATAATGTATGAGACTTTTGGAGAAAAGGAAGAAAAAGAACTCCATGAAATGAGAAGGAGATTTGGTAAATTAAGATTTGAAACTGATCACAATATAGAAAAAAGCAAATTAATGAATACATATATTGAATAAACTAAATAAGATGCAAGAAGTGTACTTTTAAACCAAACTCCATAAAGTAAAATGAACTTGAATTTACAAATGAGTAGATTATAAACTAATACTTCTATTCTTGATACAAATTCTGCTAAAAGAAATATTTTATCAAAAAGAACAACCACAAATAATCGAAACTTTAGCGCAAGAACTTTAACAAATAGAATTACATCTTTACCTAACAATTACTTTTTCAATTTTCCAAAATGGATGGAAGAGAGATAAGATTTTCAAAAGTGGAAATAACATGAGTAAAACAATATTATAGTATTAGAGATTTTGATATACATTTGAAAATTGTCTCAATCTGTAAAAGTGAATCATTTAGAAGGGATGACGGACAAAAAACTATTGTAGCACTTTATCTTTAAACCCTGAGTTTATTTAAATTAATGCCTTTAGAAATGCTAAAGGAATTAGGAGGACGTTTAACTTATATTGAATTGAAAACAGAAAATGATTTGACACTTTGTAGATATGGGGAAAAAGGAGAGTGCATGTTTATAATATTTAAAGGAAAAGTCGATGTCATTAGCTCTGATGTATCATCATTTAATATTTAAGGGTAAACTACTAAAGGTTTTTGGTAGTAATGAACATGTTGGAAGAAGTGCATTAGAAACTGATGCACCAAGAAATGCTACATTGACAACTACTTTTGAATCTCATATATTAAAGTTGTAACGATGGGACTTTTAATAATGTCTCAATAATTTGTTTAAAATTGAAAGACCAAAATGGAAAAAGTTTGTAGAAACAATACATTTTTTTGATAGTTTTCATCCACATAAAATAGAAAGAATGTGTGATGAATTAAAAGGAAGATTTATGTCAACTAAAGATTGCTTATATAAAGCTGGAGATTAAGTAGATAATTTTTATATTGTGAAAAATGGAACTTTAGTTAAGAATGTAGTTGTTGATTTGGAAGAATCTAATAGATGGCCTATTGGAGCTAAAGAATGGGAGAAGAAAACAATTACTACTTGTTAAAGAATACCTTTACAATATAAAGCTTAATCTTTATTAGGATATTATGAAATAGTAACATTTGAATAACTTCAATTAAAAAAAAGAACTGAAACTATAGATGCAGCAGAAGATTCATTTGTCTTATTTATTCCAAAAACTCTATTCACAGAAATATTTGATGCTGATGATCAAAAGAAATTTAGAGATTTATACACTAAATTACATCCAACTAGCTTTGAACTGTTAATTTCCAAAGTAAAAAGTGAGGAATTGAAAAAAAAATAAGAATTCTAAATTATTAATAAAGCTATCACAGATGGCTTAATTTCTGTTCCTTAACATCTATTAGAAAAAGTATCCAGATTTATCTTAATATTAGAAATTTTCAAAATATTCAAAAGTTTTTGATAATGCTAAAACTAAATTAAAATAATTCAAACAATCTAGAGAAATTATTAAAAGAGAGAAAAGAACCAAAAATATGATATCTATATATGAATGAATTTTGTATAGTAAGATTTATAAGTAATATCTAACTTAATCATTGTATTTTATAAAAATTAGAATACTCTTCAACTAATTCTCTAAAAATAATATCCAATTCTATATCTGAAAAATCTGATAAAGGGGTAAAATTTAGATATTGATCTTTTGCAACAAATGCCATCTCCCTGATATGGTTTTATGATTGTTTAGGGTATTTATAACATTGTAATGTAATTGCTGTTTATGGATAGAAATTTTTAAGTTAGTGAACCTAATTTAGTTTAGGTGAAACCCATGTCATATCATTCTTATTACATGTTAGATGTAATATAGGATTCATCAAATGCCTTGCATTTGATAAAATTGCATAAATTTTTACATCAATTTCTCCTTATAAAACTTTAACTATTCCATACTATCCAGCATGATCATGAATCGTTGAATAATGTTTAAATGGCCAAATTTCTAACACATATTAATGTCCTGCAGAATATTTATTATAATGGCCTAATCCCAATCTTAGGTATGTCATTAAAGGATCTAACCCCTTTAATAGAGCATTTTCTTATTTCCTTTTCAGTATTTCGTTCAATTTGCATCCATCATGTGTAACACTATGATGAATTAAGTAACCTAATGATAATTTAGCCCCTTTTTATTCATATTAAGGTGACTCTTTCTATTCTATCTCATGCAATTCAATTTTCTTTACTGATTAAAATAAGTTGTTTATCTCTGAAGCTAAATTCTAGGGTTATGAACCATTATGCAAATCAATGATATTGTTACAATTTTTTGAAATAACAGGACTTAGTTTGTAAATAAAATAATCTTTACTATGAATTTGAACTGCTTCATTAGACGTAATGAAATTGAAGATTTTTTTGAAATTGATATTTTCACTATATGGAATAACATTCATTGCAATTTTAGTAATTGATTTTATTCGTATCATTACTTGATTCATGGTACGAGTAATTATCTAAGTTTCAAATCTAGGTTCTCCATATCCAATATTCAAAGAGCAGTTTGCTTTATTCACATGTGTCCATATTCCTTAAGTATCCATTAACTGTCCTAATTAATTTGTAAACATCACAATTCTTTAATCATTGTGCATTTCTTTAATTGAACCAGAAGAAATTTTTAATTTTTTTCTAGAATACTTAATTTCCAAACAAGGATTATAATTCATATCTAGGTACTTTATAACCATTTTTTTCATCTATTAAAAATAATCTTAAAATTGTGATTCAATCTTTGAAGGATTGATTACAATAACTATAATTTTCTCATCTTGTTCAAATTTTATTTCGGTTCTACTCTCATTTGTTTCTAAGGTATAATTTGTGTCTTCTTACATCTACTTGAATCTATCTAAAATAAATAATTGAAAAATAATTATAAATTTGATTAAATAGTATCATTACTAGAATATCACTGATTGAATANAAATTTTTAAGTTAGTGAACCTAATTTAGTTTAGGTGAAACCCATGTCATATCATTCTTATTACATGTTAGATGTAATATAGGATTCATCAAATGCCTTGCATTTGATAAAATTGCATAAATTTTTACATCAATTTCTCCTTATAAAACTTTAACTATTCCATACTATCCAGCATGATCATGAATCGTTGAATAATGTTTAAATGGCCAAATTTCTAACACATATTAATGTCCTGCAGAATATTTATTATAATGGCCTAATCCCAATCTTAGGTATGTCATTAAAGGATCTAACCCCTTTAATAGAGCATTTTCTTATTTCCTTTTCAGTATTTCGTTCAATTTGCATCCATCATGTGTAACACTATGATGAATTAAGTAACCTAATGATAATTTAGCCCCTTTTTATTCATATTAAGGTGACTCTTTCTATTCTATCTCATGCAATTCAATTTTCTTTACTGATTAAAATAAGTTGTTTATCTCTGAAGCTAAATTCTAGGGTTATGAACCATTATGCAAATCAATGATATTGTTACAATTTTTTGAAATAACAGGACTTAGTTTGTAAATAAAATAATCTTTACTATGAATTTGAACTGCTTCATTAGACGTAATGAAATTGAAGATTTTTTTGAAATTGATATTTTCACTATATGGAATAACATTCATTGCAATTTTAGTAATTGATTTTATTCGTATCATTACTTGATTCATGGTACGAGTAATTATCTAAGTTTCAAATCTAGGTTCTCCATATCCAATATTCAAAGAGCAGTTTGCTTTATTCACATGTGTCCATATTCCTTAAGTATCCATTAACTGTCCTAATTAATTTGTAAACATCACAATTCTTTAATCATTGTGCATTTCTTTAATTGAACCAGAAGAAATTTTTAATTTTTTTCTAGAATACTTAATTTCCAAACAAGGATTATAATTCATATCTAGGTACTTTATAACCATTTTTTTCATCTATTAAAAATAATCTTAAAATTGTGATTCAATCTTTGAAGGATTGATTACAATAACTATAATTTTCTCATCTTGTTCAAATTTTATTTCGGTTCTACTCTCATTTGTTTCTAAGGTATAATTTGTGTCTTCTTACATCTACTTGAATCTATCTAAAATAAATAATTGAAAAATAATTATAAATTTGATTAAATAGTATCATTACTAGAATATCACTGATTGAATATAATAAAATCCTAAACAATAATATATATATATAATAAATATTTAAATGAAATTTTACTGCTACATGCTGTATTTATATTTAATAAGTATCAATTTGAAAACATTAGTTGATTTTTTGAAGAATTTATATGATAAATTTAGTTTTCCTATCAAAATGAAAAAAAAATAATCGAAATATATATGAATGATGATTATATTAAATAAATTCATTTATCAAAACTTTTAATCATGTTTCAGTTAATCAGTAATTATTCGATTACGTCTTCAGATATTGTATCATTAAAATGAATACTTAACAACAAAGCTAGTCTTAAATTTAAAAAATAATACTTTTATTAAGAATTTGAATACTAATTTTTTATTATTATAAAGCTATCAGAGATATAGTTTTCACCAAATGATGTTGACAAAGATTCTTTTCAGAAGAAGATATAATGGGAGTAATTGTTCTAGAATCTAATTATTCACAATTATTTTCAGTAATAAAATGATATTATTTTTACTTTTAATTATCATTATCTTATTTAACAATTATCAAAAATTATGGCTTTAATTTTTTTATTTAATAATTTCCACCTTACTTTTTTTTCTTTATGATTTCTTAATAATTTTGAAATACTAATAAATTTCATTTTAAAATCTTGCTAATTTAATTTTTATTATGATAATTTTGAATTGTAGATATATAATAGAATAACATTATCACTTAATAAAATAGTGGAGGTGAAATTAAAATTTCACATTATACATTGTATTTTAATCAGAAAGAATTAAATTGTATAATTAATCATATTAAATATCTATTTTCAAATATGATACTATAATAATACAGATTGATGTCAATTTAAATATCAACTTCGTATTATAGTAATAATAAACTATTAAACAGAGTTGCTAATGAAATAGTCTTATTTTAAGAAATATCTACTAATTATTTATATTATGCTTAGGCTTGTTTATAATTATATTAATAAAATTTTATCACAATAGTTAATAATTTGATCTCAGATATTTAATTCATTATCCAAGAGTTTTTGATTCCTTATTTTGCTAAAAATGAAAGTTGATTAATTCCAAAGCAGAATCGATCTAATATAAAGAAATATATATATATATATTAATTTTTATACTCATCATGTAAAATATAAATACAAACATAGAGCAAAGAGGAGAATCCTAAAAAAAGTATCTAAAATTAAATAATAAAGGTTTATATTATTTTCATATTATTCTGAGTTTGAAAAATAATGATTAATGAATTATGATTAGTATCATAAAACACTTTTATAAGTAATAATCCGTAATTCTCAGCTCTGCATCTTTTCTTAACAAGCTGAAATTAATTACTATGTTTAAGATTTAGAGTTTATATATAATTATGGTGAATAATTTATAATGGATCATTTTCATGTAGGATTTATATATTTTGGAAACTAAAAATTTTTAATTACATTAATACCTTAAAACCATTCAAACAAATCTAGGAATTAGTGTAAGTTTGTAATACTCCTGAAAAATAGTTTGGTCCTTTAATTTTTACAATAATACCAGGATCCATCAGAATCGATTTGATTTCATAAGGAATACTGGTTTGCTTCTTTGGATTATCACCTTAACATATTTAAAATACTGTTCCAGTGTAATTACATTCACTATAAAATTTGACACAAGGGACAATAACTTCTATAATAAAGTCTCTAAATCCCCAAGATTCTAAAAATCATGAAATTTATACCATCCCAATTACTTTAGTCAAAGTTATCTTTTAATGATATTGTTAAAGCAGTTCCTGTTGTTTAAAACTTAAACTTTAGAGGCTAGAATAAGTCTTCAAACTCACCATTTCTACAAATCTTAGTCCCTTGACGATCTGTGAAGATTGCATTTTTTAACAATAAATTATTTGCATAAATCTCAACTCCTTCTGAATCCCAAGAGTCGAATTTCCAAATACTAATTGAAAACTCAAGTTATTTATTTGGTTGAAGATTAGGAAAATTTTTGCTTACTTTTGTTTTTTCTCCATAAGGTCCCATATATAAATTTTTTGGTTGTGAGCTACATCTGTCAATTGTAGCGCTAGTCATTCCTTCAATAGAAAATTCCCAATATCTACAATCAGCTATATTGTCTGTAATACAATTTTAGTATAGTATTGATTTTAGAAAAACTATTCTTATAAAGGAGATTGTGAATGCCATTTAAATTATTATAATTTTTAATTAAAAATGAAATTTCATTTTTTAAAAACAAGAAGGTTGATTTAGTAAATTAAAAAATATCCAACAATTATTGCTAAGACTTTTCCAAAAAAGATGAGAAAACAAATTATTGTTAATAAATGAATTAAATCTTAAAAAAAAATGATAGTTTTCAAAAAAAAATCCTGTTTAAAAGGTTGATCAATAGCAAAGTTAACCCAACTATCCTAAGAAAGCTCAGTTATGAAATAGAGCAATTTTTAATTGAAAAAAAAAATATTGTGAAAATAAGATTGGAGGTAACTAGTGAAGTAAATACGATAATTCATCTCAATATATTAAACATTCCTTCATTATTTGATTCAATTAACTGTTCCCTTTTTTTGTTTATAACTTAATTGTCTTCTAGACTAAAAAAGGCTGAATTTACAAATCTTTTCTAAATACTATCAGGCTCATAGTTTAAGATTGTATTTTAAAAATTATCACAATGTTAAAGTATTCAAGAAATTGTAAATTTTGTAACTTTTCTTAGAAATTTTCAGTTGATTGATAATAATAATAATCAATAATATTAGAAAATCAATTGAAAAAATATCCTGTCACATTTATAGTTTATTTAATACTTATTCAAAGTTTATTAAAATGTTAAAATAAATTTTTTTCTAAAAAATAATAAAAATATGAATTGAAATTCAAAATAATGAATATTAAAATAATAAAATCATGTAAATCTTCCTAACCAGAAGGGAATCTAGCAATTAGATTTTTTATTTTGGATAACAAGAATACTTTTATAGGGCATTTATTTCATAAATAGACAAAGTTAAGCTATACCAAGAGATTATTTACTTAAAATGATGACCAATAAGGTATTTAGAATGTAAATCAAATTTGAAGTTGGGGTAAGTTTATTAATCACCAAAACTCCAGATTAGCTTCTTGAAGATGTTAAAACATATTAAAATTGTCAACCCTTGGGAAATACGATTTTTTAAATCTTCAAAATAAAATTAGAATAATTAATTCATTATAAGAACTAAATCTTATTTATGTACTTTTGAAAAATTTAATCCTGTATGGTAATTATTAGAAGACTTAATAAAATTATATTGATTCTAGAGAGGCCAAAACATTATAAAATTGTGAATAATAATTTATTGAATTGTTTATTAATAAATTAATTATTCTTTATTTAAAATATTTTAAAATATTATTATTTCTATTTTTAATTTAGTTCTATATTTCAATATTAAATTTTGCTTCTTTATTCTAAATTTTGTATTAACATAGTGTTGATCCTTTAACGGTTTATCATTTAACTAATAATTATTTGAATAAAATTAAGATATATTTCTATCTTTTCTATAAAAAACAATTTATTTAAATTCTTTAATATTTATTTGAAAATACTTTTTATTTATAATAAGAAGAAAATGAATACAGTAATAATTATTTATTCACAATAGGAAATTATGAGCAATATTAAAGAGGACAACATACAAACACATTTTAGAAAAGTATTTTTCTATTGGTAAAGTCTAGTTAATAAGACATCTAAAAGGAATTATCAACAATAGAAAAATAGTATATACACCTTAAATAATTTAGAAAAATTTTCACTGTCCTAAATTACAAATTATTTCGGATTATTTTCATTT